CTTTCTTTTGAACTTATATTTAATAATGTTTTTATTATTCTTCTTTCGCCTTCTACTTTATATTAAAAAAAATATAAACCAACTTGACAAGTATCTTTCTTCCCAACTCCAGGATATCCAGCACAAAGCATATTGTCAGCAATCATAGCCGCATCGTATTTTGTATTTTTACAATCCTCATTGCTCAAAACCGGTATTTCCACATCCTGTAATTGACAGGAATGATTCTTCATTTCAGAGACGGAACCCCATCCGGTTGCTGTTGCTTTGACGCCTACATACGTGTTATCTGTAAAACAGAAAGTAAAAGTGAAAGAAATGAAAGACGCAGTTTTTATCATAGAAACAAATAGCAAATACAGCTACTTGGCCCCTCTCTGTGTTTGGCCGTTACTTCGGAAATAAAAGATGATCAACTCCCAATCAGCTGCTGTCAGTTGTCGATTTCTCGAGAAATTAGTAACCAATAAGTATATGTCATGCTCCCATTTAACATCAAAAGTTTGGATATTTCTAGTATAATTTCTAAAAAAAGTCACTATCTAAGTAATATACTTTCTATATCAGTTTGAAAATTTTTGATATCTCTGATATTTACGGAATAACGACCTAGGCACACCAAACAATTACATCCTGTATATCTCGTCGATGTTATATAAGCAGTTCGTAATGCAAATGATATAGACTCCTTAATATAGACTCCAATAATTCTGATCATAATTTCCAATGACTTACCATCATTATGGGGCAAGCAAACAGGTTTCACAGTATCCGTAATGTTAACTCTCTCATTCAGTTTCAACAAGGCGATGTCGTCTTTAAAAGTGCTGTAGCTAAAATTACGAGAAAGAACTTCTGCAACAAACCGCGTCTCCGGACGATGCGTGTCGTTGCAACGGTTATGTTCTCCAAGTGTCACTTTTATCATGAACCACATGAGTCTGCAATTAAAATATTGTTGTTAGTTACTATTTAGTAACAATAAGTCAATAATAACGTACACACTCATAGCCCCGCACCTGTATCGCGGGTGCCATGGGCACACACATAAATAACCACAAATTACAACCAAACTCAAGAGAAAAATAAACGTAGGCCGCACCAATATTTCTCCCGGTCCGGGAATCGAACTCGGGACCTCTGTGTGGTGGTCCAGCATGGTAACCACGGAGCCAGTTACCGAAGGTAGTTACGACGAATTGCAAAAATTAAATTCACAAAGGACTTAATCTATAATTCATGCTTTTAACAGTGTGTCTATCCATTCATTTTGGGGGAATGGACATTACCCACCACGCTGGTCCAGTGCGGGTTGATGGGTGGAACGCCAGAGCCTCGTTTGGTAGTCGGCAGGATGTACAACGGGCAGGTGAGGTTAGCTAGGGTTACGAGTGATGTTATTTGGACCCCCTTACACCCCACACTTTTAACGTCGAAAATAAATTGTTTCAGGAGAGCGATAGCCCCAGTTTGGCGAAAAAGTCGCTAGTACGAGTCTATCTTTCTTTTTGTATCCTTTTCTTCTTTTCGTTTACTTAATGTCGTTTAAATTTATTTTATTTATTTATTATTATAAATCAGGCTTCTATGACCCATATAATACATTATTTAATGACTAACTTACATGTGATGTACTACTTATAAAAAACTAAATAACTAATTTTCACGAATAGCATTTATCGGCGACCTGTGTCGCAATATAGTGCCTGGTAACCCACCTAGGAATCGCCGGTATACGACACCCTTAGGCCAAAACTCCTCATTCATGAAGATCGACATAATTGTGTTTTCAAATAAACCTTTGTTGGTTTGTTTGAAAAAACAAATATACGCGATTTAAATCCGGAAAAATAGTTTCATTTCCTATGTGTACCAATCGCGAAAATCTAAGAACTCGATATGTACGTAAGTTGTCTATCTTTTTTATCTTTTTAGTGTTTAAAACTAGGGAATGTAAATATGTTACAAGGGCAGAATTGCCGTTGCAGATTAGTTATACTAGTTACGTATAAGTACTTACATTTATAGCATTACTATAGAATATCTATCGCTTGTTTATTTGTAACACATTCCTACTTCACAAGTAACATCTTTAGTTTATGTTATATACATATTATCTCTTTGCATACCATTACATAAATACACCTTACATATACACACCTCACACAAACACATCCCACACAAGCACACCCTTCACACACGCGGGCGCATATTCACTTGTTTGGACAATACTTTCTTTTTTAACTGTTAATAATATACCATGTGGTTAACTATAATTAGTTTCACTCTCTTTGTGAATTTTCTGAATTGTAATTCTATGTACAATTAGTGCACTGTTGTTAACCCTAAGTTAATAAAAATAGAAGTAAATTTATTAAATTAATAATGTGTGTAATAATGTGAAATGTTTCAAATCTCACCCTTTGGTACAATGAGCCGCAGTCAAAACATAACGGTCGTTAATCAGGATTCCTCCGCAGTAAAATTTGTTGAAATAAGATAGACGAACCACCCATGGGAACTCATTCACAGCCGTTTCTTTTCCTCCTACTATTCTCGATGCCTCATTACGCTCGCCACAACCTGGTAATTTTTAAAATAATACTCTATCTTGAATGTCACACAGTAATTTTTAGAAATCAGCTGAAATTTATAATAATAATAACGCAACATACTCCTAGCACTAGGGAAACGCTATGTCGTGGGTGCCATGGACACACACATAGACAACAACAAATTACACCCAAACTCACGAGAGAAATAAATGTAAGCCATACAGATATTTATCTCGGCCTGGGAATCGAACCCAGGACCTCTAGGTGGCAGTCCAGCATAGTAACCTTTCGGCCACAGAGATAGTTAAAGTGATACTATGGAATGTAACTACCTACTACACTATGTAACAAATTTTCAAAAGGGTTCTATTTCTATTTAAATGAGCAGCAAATAACTAGAAAAGAATAGCTATACTCCTGACACTTTGTTTTTGTGGTTATCATAGTGGTATTTACATAGCTACATAGTGGTATTTACATAGTCTCGCAAATATAGAAATTTCTAGGTTCTTTGTCATCAATTTGTAGAGTTTTCGTTTCCTACGGTAAGAAGTTTCAATTTTTCGTTTCATTTTCCTGGTCAATTAAAAAATAGTAATCAGAAACAAAAATTGAAGAAAAAAAATATTGTTCCAGTTAATCGTTAAGTAAATACTACATATTCTTTAACAGATTTATTGTCAAATTATTAAGAGTAATTAAATCAAACATTTATCTATATATTGGCCATCTTTGATAATGCGAATAATTTTAAAATTTCCTAGGTTATAATGGTAGAGTATTTCTAACAAAATCGTATTAGCATTCTACTTACGACAATTACATTTACGTCTTTCCTTGTATTCTTCATCGTCTAATATGGATTTAGTTCCATTTAGGCAATGGACCTGGAATTTAATTGGTTTTGTTTTACAAGCGGACTTTTAAAATTTAAGCTGTAACGAATATAAGAACTGAAACTGTCAAGGTATACATAGGTATAGTAACAACTTTCTATGAATCACTTTCAAAAATGTGTGAAAATAAACTACGATTTTCCATATAATGGAGACTGTTGAAATGAAACAAAAATCTAAAAAGTGATTAATATTTATAAGGTCAATTAACTTACCACAATTGCAGCAGAACAAACAACAAACATAAGCAAACTTTTCTTCATTTTCTTCTCAAATTCTCCAGTTAAATATTACACTCAATGTACATAATTATTTTAAAAACAATCGATTGATAATACCAATGGTTGAATAATAAGTAACATTCTTAAAAGTACCTATTGAGTGGATGTAGAATTTAAAACAAAATTTTAAGTAGACGAGTGTTCGTTCGGGAAACTGCGCGGGAGTGCGTTCGTTGCACTCGGACCACATTACTATGCATCCTATTTGTTATTGTATACCAAACCCTGAGCTGGTTTAGAACTCATCTGTGTCGCACAGCTATACTCGTTGACCGTTTATATTGTCTTAGTGTTTAGGAGAGTGTATTAGAAGAAACTATTCTTTTACACTAGTAAACAGACGTAACCATCTCGATGTTATAGCAGTAGAGCTCGTAGTGAAAGATTTCGTCCAGGGAAAAACTGCCACCTTATCTAGCAATGTGAGCATTACTTCATTCCGGTTTTGAAAGGTAAGGGTGCTGATGAAATTACAGACACATGACTAGTCAACTTATGTCTCAGGGTGACGGGCGCGGTGGCAGTGCCACTCAAATCTTTGAGATTTGAAGCTCTGAGTGGCACTGCATCTGCCATGCACAGGCGTGTCACTTACCACCACGACTTGTTCGTCCCGTCACTTTGCATTATAAAAAAAATCAAACATCACAAGAGAACACAAGGTAATAGGAACTCTCCTATAGTCTGATCGTATGATTGCTCATATTTATAGCCTATTGTTCTCCAAGTCGCGATCTATCTTGACCAACAAGTACTAAGAACTCTCCTAAACGCTAACATATTGTAAACCAACCTTTACAGTACAGTTAGGAGTACGAATGTAAAGAAAGAGGTCAAGTAATGACAATTTCTTTTAAATACAAGTAATCCGTAACTAATTGCTCAAATACTGAACTTACGCTACTTCTTTTTTATATAAAGTATTTATATTGTAACGATCTGCATAATTATGAAAATTATTAACTTTTAATACAAAGGGAATGAGTAGCAATTGGAAAATTAAAAAATTAACCAAGGTGCATATTTTATTACCTGAAATAAAAACTCAAAGTGAAATCCGATGCACTAAGAACAATATGATTTAAATAATACAAGATGTTGTTTAAATGTGACAATGTAACAGTGGCGAGGTATCCATAAAACTCGGTTTCCACCGGCTTGCCTAAAACTTTCCATGTATTATCAAATGCTACATTTTGTGCTACATTTTGTGTATAATAAGTTAACCTGTGAAATGAAGTGTACTAGTGCCTTGTGTGCCAATAAGTTGTATTTAAGTGTCGCGAAAGCCCAACTTTTTCTTAAGGTAGGTTTTTTGTTTTGCTCCGGCTTTACTAACGACAATATTCACGCCTCGCCACTGCAATGTAACTTGTTTCCATCTGATCATTTACAATGATTGCAGCAACAATTTAAATTAATTAATTTAATCATGTGATTTATGTGTTAACTGTTTGTGTAGAATAAGTACTTCGAGTTACCTACTTATCCCCTATTTCACCTTGAGAAGTAGGTAATTGACCAAAAACATTGAAACATTGTTTATTTCTTACAAAAGGCTTAAATGTAAATTTTCAGATCACTTGCTTGAGAAATGATTGCTTCTGCAGATAAACTTTCATCCCCTATTTCACCCCCTTTGAGATATATTTTTGTAATAAAAAGTAGCCTAGGTCCCATCTATCTCTTTACCAAAAGTCATCAAACTGGTTCAGTGGTTTAGGCTTAAAAATGTAACGTACAGAGTTACTTTCGCATTTGTAATATTAGTCTGGATAGGTTGACTTTATTAAAGTAGATTTTTTTAACTCCTCATCATCATCAACCCATTTATACGTCCCACTGCAGGGCACGCCACTCCTCTCCTTTTCCAAGGGTTGTGAACCTTATTTGTCGCGCAGGTTTCATCACGATATTTTCCTTCACGAGCCCAGGTTCAAACCATTAGGCTACCACGGCTCACAAATAACACAAAACTCCTAAATAACACAAAATATTGAACATAAGAAAAATTTGTTTTAATTAACTACTTCAATATTAGTTCAATTTAATGAATGTTGGTATACTATGAATCCACAGACGTTAATAACGCCACATACTTTCATATTTATTCATTAAAAAATGTAAAAGTGACCCAAAATTACTAAGCAAGTTATTTTTGTAGAAAATGTTTTTAAATATTTACTTAAATGGTTATTTGTAAAGTACTATATTACTAACATCAAAAACAACAACTTTTATTACATGGCTTTTAGTAATTGATCACATTTTACTTTCATACAAAATTTAAAATATTTAAATAGATCGTTCTATGCCAAACGCAGGAGCACAGTTGGGAGTCGTCAAGCAGGACGTTTGCACGTTTGAACTTACTACCTATAGAAGTCAAAAAGTTTTTAATAAAAAGGTCAAAGTAAATCTTGTATTGCATATATGTATATAACAAGAATGACAGAAACAAAAAAACATTGCTTTACGAATTTAGGATGCAGTTGAAACTTGCTATTCCAATTTTGTAGGCGCAAACAAATTAACGTTAAAGCCTAAACACCACCTTACTACCAGATATAGATCTATAAAGTGTCAGATATTACAACAAAACTAAAAAGTTTCTATTTAAGTTTTATTGAATCTCAGGATGTTTCACCATCATGGTATTCCATTATTTTTTGTGAAATGATTCCACTAGTTCGTTATAAACAAAGCTGTAAAGCTAGGGTAAGTGAAGAAAAACCTTTACAAATGTCTCACAGATGGTGCTACGGCAAAAAAGTCGTTAAGAAAACCAAAAAGAACAAGGATCTGTAACAAGCAAAAAAGCGATACGGAAAGCTCGCTTCGGCCATATTAGTCGTATTGGGGTCAGGTTAGCTTCATACCCATCAGGGAGTAAAGCATTCTGGTCACTCGCTAAATCGGTCGAAGCGAATTTCTGCAGGTCATCCCTTCCGCCTTTAATGAGAGATGACGGATCGCTGGCTCATACCGCTGAAGAGAAAGCAAATCTTTTTGTTTCTCTTTTTGCTTCCAACTCTCGTCTTGACGGTACTTTGCAAACACCACCTACACTACCTCGATGTGACTCGAAAATGCCCGAAATCACTATCCGTCAAAAAGAGGTGTTGAAAGCTTTACGCAAATTAGACGTCAACAAAGCCAGTGGCCCTGACGGAGTCCCAGCGATGTCCTGCGGAACTGTGCACCCGAGTTGTCTCCGGTGTTGACTCGCCTGTATCGCCTCTCTATGAGTTCTGGACAAGTCCCGAAATCCTGGAAGCTTGCAAATGTACAGCCTGTACCTAAGAAAGGTAGCCATGCCGACCCATCTAATTATCGACCTATCGCAATCACCTCCATACTCTGTAAGACTATGGAGCGTGTATTGAACAGCCGTCTCCTTGGATACCTCGAAGATAACGATCTCCTCAGTGATCGACAATATGGTTTTCGCCGTGGACGATCTACTGGGGATCTTCTTGCGTACGCCACACATTTATGGAGCGAGGCTGTCGAGAAACGCGGTGAATCGCTTGCCGTGTCTCTCGACATATCAAAGGCCTTTGATAGGGTTTGGCATGATAGCCTGTTAAACAAGCTTCCAGCTTACGGAATTCCTGTTGGCTTTTGCACATGGATAGGCGATTTTCTGAAGGATAGGTCAATCCGTGTAGTTGTAGATGGTTACTCGTCTGCTCCTCATGGTATAAATGCCGGTGTACCTCAGGGATCTGTCCTCTCCGCCACTCTATTCTTGCTGCATATCAACGACCTGCTGCTGATGCCCGGTATCTTTGGGTACGCAGACGACAGCACAGTGGCGGTGAGTTATGTGCCAGACGCCCGAGACAACAGTGAAGAGATCCGGTGTAAGCGAGAGGCGATGGTCACCCGGTTGAACCTGAGTCTGAAAGCTGCTTCCGACTGGGGAGATGCTAACAGGGTCAGGTTTAATGCGGCTAAAACACAGGCGTGTCTTTTCTCATCAAAACGGAGTCCCCTACACCTTACTCCGACTTTCCGAGGTGTATCCGTGCCGCTAAGGGACCACCTTGAGCTACTTGGTCTGGACTTATCATCCAACCTCAACTTTGGGCGATACATCGAGTGCTTGGCAAAAACTGCTGCCAGAAAACTAGGCATACTTTTCAGGGTCAGGCGGTACTTCACACCTGAACAGCTTTTAAATCTGTATAAAGCACAAGTTCGATCCTGTATGGAGTACTGCTGCCACCTTTGGGACGGCTCTGCCCAATACCAGTTAGCTGCCTTGGACTCGGTGGAGCGTAAAGCAAAGAGACTTATTAACAATAATCCTCTTGTTGAGTCGAAGCTCCAAAATCTCGATCATCGCAGAAAAGTAGCCTGCTTGTCGGTTTTCTATCGGATATATTTCGGAGAGTGTGCGCAGGAACTTTTCAATTTGGTTCCGCCCTCACCGTTCCTCCTTCGGTCGACTAGAAGGTCCGGAGCACTCCATTCTTATGTCGTTGATATTCCACCTATTCGCACTAAGCGCTTTGCCTCCTCCTTTCTGATGCGTACTCTATGCATCTGTATTTCCCGAAAAGTACAATTTGGGGCTATTCAAGGCTAGAGTGAATAGGCATTTTTTAGGCAAACGCGTCCCATCGTCGGTCACATCGTCGCTTAACATCAGGTGAGATTGTGGCCAAGCGTGTGTCTATTATATATTAAAAAAAAAAAAAAGCACATGAAAAAATTCGTAAGGTTGGTTCCGTGGCTCAGTTGGCATAGCGTCTAGCATGGTTTGCTAGGAGACGTTGGTTCGAATCCAGGCGGATCGAAGTGAATTTTTTGTTCGATCTTTGTTTAATAATTATAACAAACTACTGGAGTAATTTCTTGAAAAGTTTGTTTCGTAAAAAGTCTTGGAACAAAAATTGTTGTTTATGATATTAGTACGAGATATAGACCTGCGAGATTGTTAGCATTTTACAAATAACCCTTTATATATAAATAGGTTCAAAAAACTATTTTCCCTTATTTTATTTATGAGCTTGGTTTCAGGGAACTAACAATACAAAAACATTCTTAATTGTTCTAGTTAATGTGCGCAATAACATGCGTCTGCTGTATTCTCCCTTATCCAGTCAATATACTCTGTGACTCTTGTGTAAACTCCAGGGTAGCCTTTTCTTGCACATCCATATCCCCAAGACACGATACCTGAAAATATAATTTCAAGTTATGTAATGTATTATGGGTCACATAAAAGTAATATTATTTATGAGAAATGAAACTATTTTTCCGGATTTAAATCGCGAAGGTACATGTATTTGCTTTTTCAAAGAAACCAACGAAAGTTTAAAAAACAAATATTTTTTTATTCAAATCCCGAAAAATATTTTCATTTCGTATGTGTAAGAATCGCGAAAACCTGAGAACTTATTTTATTTATTTTAACATATTTATTTATTCATTTATTCAAAATGACAGCCATGACACCCCTTAGGGTTGTACTTTAATATTTACATTTCTCTACACATTACAAATATAATATTGAAAAGCACAATTTGGATTATATCATATATCAAATATCCCATCATCAATCTTCGTGAAATACATAAAATAACATAATAAAGCTTAAACTAAATTTAATTAAATAACTGCGTAACTTTGTCAATATAATATTCATTTAAACTATGATAACATTTTATCAATTTGTTATTCTTTTAATTTTTTAGTGAAAGTTCTATAATTTGTCTTACGTCTTAAGTACCTATTGTGGTATTTTATTGTGAATCTTTAAAGCGTTATACCTAATAAGGACTTTTATATATATATATATAATTATGATACATATGATACTTTTTATATAATTATGATACATGGTTACCGTACTTTGTGGAAGGTTTAACATGTTCTTGTATCTAAAGGGTCCTAAAAAAGTGGGTACGGCACTAACAAACAATTCACTGTGTTTTCGAATAATGGTAGGGTTAATATTTCTAAATTATTAAAGCGTAGTGTACAAGGTACTATCGCCTCGATATTTGTGAGAATACTTCTTTTTCTGTAGAATAAGGAGATCATTCACCTAGGTAGGTACTGTTTGCCCAAACTGTCAAGCCATATTTATGTATTGAAATATGAAGTCTAGTGTATCAAATCTAGTTAAATAAATAAAGTTAACATCTCCACTGAAATATAATTTAGACGATGTTTTATACTTACCGTATAACCTTGCAACAATTTAACTTACCTATTAACTCATATGATCGACTTTCCGTTCTGATAATCAATGGCCCTCCGCTATCGCCCTAAAATATATAATAAGATTACATTACTATTAACGCTGTAAAAAGATTAAAAGCTCTATGTTACTAAAACTGCCATGTTATCTAAACCAGGCTTTAAAAATTCTGTCACAGATTAATAACTTATTGTTGATAATTATAAATATTTTATAGGAAATGAAACTATTTTTTTAAATCGCGTATATTTGTTTTCTCTAACAAACCAGGAGTCAACTGCGACCATGGGGCCTGTAAAAGGCCAGAAACGTTGGTTTGTTGGAAAAACAAATATACGCGATTTAAATCCAGAAAAATTGTTTCATTTCCTATGTGTAACAATAGCGAAAACCTAGAAACTCGATATATAAACATTTTGTCATAAATTTACCTTAAAGTGAAATTATACCCAAAATAGATATTTGATGTATTTCGACCATAGGGAAAAATCGGTTTTCTGGCGTTAAAAAATACGAATTCCACTTGTTTTATTTTAACTGGCAATGATACTGACTGTGGATTGGTACAAGAAATGCCTAAGGCCTTAAGGTGGATTTATATTTGTTTGCGTGTCGTGTCATGATGCGCTCTGACGTGATATTTTGGAACAATACCGTCGTGGCTCTCGGAGAATTTATACTTTCCCAATGTCAGACGTGTCACGGCACAGCAGTGCCGCGTACACGTTTTCATTAAAATAGAAGATACCGGTAGTGGACTATGTGGCCCGACACACGATTACCTAAACTTCACTCGATAAAAGAACCACAGTTCCGCCAAATTTACTACTTTCATCTACGGAAAAATCAGTTTCATTTGATTGTTATTAGAGATATGAAAATGATTTATTTTTGTAATACCAAGTGATGGGACGAGATTGTGGTTCGCCTGCGACAAGCGACACGCCTGTCCATAATAGTTGCAATGCCATTCAGTGCTTTGAATCACAAAGATCAGAGAACCACTGCCACTACGCCTTTCAACCTGAGACATAAGTTGACAAGTCCCATGTGTCTGTAATTTCACCAGCACCCTTACCCTTCAAAACCAGAACGCAGTAATGCTCACATTACTGTTTGGCGGCAAAAATAGGTAAGGTGGCAGTACTTCCCTGGACGAACTCTTTCACAAGGAGCTCTACTGCTACTAAATGCTCTCTCCCGTGTTCCGTAATGAATACGTAATAATAATAATATAATAATATAGCCCTGCACTAAGGAAACCCTGTGTCGCGGGTGCCATAAACAACCACAAATTACACCCAAACTCACGAGAGAAATAAATGTAAACCATATAAATATTTCTCCCGGCCCGGAAATCGAACCTGAGACCTCTGCGTGGCAGTCCTGTCATGGTAACCGTTCGGCCACTGAGGTAATTCATTAGACTATCAACTTCTTTTACAATAAGAGACTATATTTTATTTCGAAAAGCTAAATGCATCGTGCAATGAATTTCTCCTCGTCTACCTCCACGCAACCACGACACCATTTCACCTTATTTAAGGACCGGAATTATAAAAAAATATAATATAATAGAACTGCTCACCGTACATGCATCCTTATGTGCCGTTTCAGGATATCCGGCACACAGCATGACGTCTTTGATTTTGGATGCATTGTAATTAGTGCGCTGGCAAAGTTCATTACTAAGCACTGGCAATTCGGTCTCGCGAGGAGTACATGACCAGTTTCCGGTTTCTTTTGTTGCACCCCATCCTGCAACTGTTGCTAGTTCCCCAGTGTAAAGCTGTCCTGGAAAATGTTTCATTATATTGTTCATATACGGTTTTTTTACATTGGTAAGTACTTTTAGGTAAATCTTACTACAATGTTGATTGTTATTATTGACATAAAGAAAAATTCCTTTGATCTGACTGGACACCAACCAGCATCTGTTGCCACACCGGGGCTACCACTCTTACCAACTGAGCTATAGATCAAGTCAGTAGACCTTTTCAATTTTCTATGTACTTTTATTTGTTTATTGAAGATATTTCACATAGAAAACATTACACATTAAATAAATATTGAACACAATAGATTAAAATGAAGTGCTTGTACACTTAAAGAATATCACAGCATGCAATGATAATAATATAAAATGACGTAATAAAAAATTTGTGTAATATATTGTTGTTTACATTATGTAAACCTATAAGTAATCAAACTGAATACATCTAAAATAAATCAGTCTAGAGAAACTTATCAAAAATTCAAAACTGAAAAAAATATTGCACATCTTTGTATCAACAGTGCAGTAGTTTGACAAGAAATATAAATTGGACGTAGTTAAGCAAAAAGGATCCAAGCCAGAAAATTATCAAAAAATTAGTTATATGAACCAAACGGTTCCTAAAGTCTAAAGTCTTAGATTAGCAAAAAAAAATCCAACATGTAAACATAATATAAAAATAAAATAAATATCTCTGGAGTTATAATGTCATAAGTTTTGAAAATAAATAGAGTATGCATCCTAATTAAATCCGTATTGATAGCCATTTACATAGTAGGGAACAAACTTACATAATAATGCTTAATTAAACAGTGACGGATTGAGTCAGAAACACTTTTAAATGTAAAACTGCCATATCTCGAAAGTGACTGGATGTACATTGGGTCCTTTTTGTTTAACTACGTCCAATTAATACCATGGTAATAAAATTATTTGCTGGTGAAATTACAAGCACATGGGACTTGTCAACTTATGACTCAGAGTGACGGGCGCAGTGGTAGTGCCCCTCAGATCTTTGCAATTTAAAGCTCTGAGTGGCACTGTAATTGTTAAGGACAGGCGTGTAGCTTACTATCAGGAGCACGACTGGTTCGTCCCGTCACTAGATGTTATAGAAAAAACTTGAAATTCAATAAAAATAAATGTTGATTATTATTTGTTTTAGTAATATTTATTAAAGCCAAATATAATTCTAATTGTGGGGATTTCTTCGTTGTAGTTAAATTAAATGTAAAAATAAAGAAATAACTTAAAATTTAACAAAACTTGAAATAAAGTCATTCGAAAAGGCTGTTTAATTATAACAATAAATTATATGCAGGAAAAACCGTATAATATGTTGTCGTAATCATAACTACAGGTCGTAATATTCGGGTTTTCAAGTGATTTTTATTTGCACAAAAGACAATATCATAAATCAAGTTTTATGGTATAATAAAGAAGCAGCAGCTGCAACAAACTTGTGTTTTAAGTGATAGTCACTTTTAAGTGAAACCCATAAAAGATAAAACAATAATTTTTTTTCGGTCTATATTTTTGCTTGCTGTTACAGATGTTCAGGTATCAATCTTTTTACTCGAAAAATTAGAAGTATTTTGAGATGCGCTAAGGTCAGAAAAAGTGGCTTCACTATCAATGTGTAGGCTAGACCTAAGAACTTGAAAACTAGCTTCTTTACATGAGTTACAACATGCGGCAAGTGGTGTTTGTGTAATAATTACTGCCTTACCTGGATATCTAGGTAAACACACAGGTCGGATAACATGAGAATACATCACAGGCTCGTTCAACTTTATCAATGAAATGTCATTGGTGAGCAAAGTCATGGTGAAGTTGTGGGCGATGATTTTTGTCACCCATCGGGTTACTGGCTTGTCAGGACGATCGCAGCGGTCGTGCTCGCCAAATGTGACTTTGAACATGAACCACATGAATCTGTAGGCACGAACAACATCCTTAAGCAAAATAATGTTGGTATATAATAAGATTTTAAGATAATTGCCGTGTTTCTCGGGTACAACACCATATTATGGACACATTGGGTTTCGTGAGAAGGGACTTTAAAAGTGTTTTTTTTTTAATTGGGGAAATCCGATTAAAACTGTCTTAGGAACCATTAAGTTTTTTAACCGACTTTAAAAAAGGAGGAGGTTCTCAATTCACTGTTTATTAATTTTTGCAACAAAATTATAACGAAACCGTTATTCATTCAGGATGTATTGGATGTTTATCGCAGACACGATTAGGTTCGGTTAGGCTAAGTTAGGTTTAAAAGAAAAAAACATTTTCCTCTCAAAATTACTTTCGAGGTTATGAAAATTCAAGCAAACGTTATTTCTGGAAAATGTCATTTCGGACTATTGATTAGGTAACCTATTAATAATAATTATTATTTATTTATTGCCAGACAACATGATCTATAACATTTGTTAGTAAAAGGAGGACTTAAACTAATGTTAGTGTGAACTTAACATAAAAATAATTTTGTAAAAAATGGGAGGTCAGCATACCCAGACAATACCGGGGCTATGAATTACTAGCATTGGGGACTCTCACCTATCTGCCACGTTATTGCAAATTACGACTTTGATATTTATACTGAAATTTCAAACGATGATATTAAAACACCACCATGGATAACATTACAGGTTGGCCTATCATTTTTGCACTCCAACAAAGCAATATAACGCATATTTTTGGCATTTTCGAGGTTTTGCCCGAAATAATTGACACGACCATAACGTACAAAGTAAAAATGGCAGACTGAGCTCAAGTATGTGGAACTCCGAGTACTGTTGCCACACGTGTTACACCCACTAAACACTTCTACTGCATTTATTGTTCTGTGGTCTCTACACGTGCGTACATCTTATATTACAACTTCATTAATACGTTAACCCGTCGACGTAATTATTGTCGTTTTTTAGAGAATTCTCTGTCAAGCAGTGATCTGTCAACACGGAAAATTGTCACTTACCCTTTAACGCAATGCGCAGCAGAAATTACATACTTGTCGTTGATAAGCGAAGCCCCACAACCGAAGGACTTGTGGTAGATCAGCCGCGCCAACCATGGATAAGCGTTGTGTGTCGTGGGACTACCACCTACCACTCTGCCACCTTCGTTGCGTTGGCCACAGCCTGTCATTGGAAACATACTTGGTAGAGTTCTAACGAATACTCTGTTAAGTGGTATTCGGCTTAGGGTGAGGCGGCACGAGCGTAATCTTTTGAGTTGTGAGTCGTGTTTTTGAGTCCCTTAATTTACTCTACTTAGTACCTATTAAAGTCCGGTTCGTGCGACATGATGACGCAATATGAGTTTTATATATATATATATATATATATATATATATATATATATATACTGTTATATATACTGACGCGGGCAATTACGACCGATCTTCGGCCGCACTATGTGACGTGCTTTTGCAGAGATGGTTGTGAGGAACATTTAATGGCATGTGGTAGTATTTTGTACAAATTGACCTGAAATTTCACATAAACTTTCAAATAGTATATGAAACTGCTCACACTTTAACTTATGGAATGCCCTAAAAGAGCGGATGTACCCAGTTTCATTATCTATATATCTATAAGTAAACAATTTCTTTAAAAATTCAATACCTACGTATCAATCAATAATTATTACGTAAGAAAACATATCAAATGGCCACTACCTATTTATTATGTAGTTTACTCACGACTAAATAAACGCTAACAAAATCAATGAAGTACCTACTCAGGTATTATTTGCAAACGAAAATAAATTCAGTTTTTGGAAGTTAATAAAATGATGATGAAGTGTAATAAATAATTACTTTCTTGATAAATTCACTAAACTTGAAATTAAGTACTTTTTTGTTACATTGTCAAAATTATTTTAATAAATAGTTATAATTAAGTAAATGTAAATTAGCGGTATTTTTTGTGTCAATTTTAGTACGTGCGTTAATAGTCCGAATAGTTTGGTCGAATATTCGGCTATTAGGTCCGGGGCCAAATATATTATTTGTCGATACAACAATGAGACATATTTGTCAATGAAAATCTTAATGCCACAGACGGAAATTCTAAGGTACATCAGCCGCGCAATCTAGGGTCAGACATTGCGACCAAAAAGACTGCCATTTACCAGTTGGCCACCTCACTAGCATTTACTACAACTTGTCAAAAGATGCTTACATAGTAGGTACAATAAGACATGTAGGGCAACTTTCGCCTGTTCGACACTTCATTGTCTATACTTCGGTGAGAGCGTAGGGATATCACATTATTATTTTAATTGTACCTACATGATGTGTACATAACTTAAAAAATTAAGGTGTTCATCGCAATATTCTCGTGCTCAATATTGAAATAACCTTTGTTAAATGCAATATGTATTTACATATTTCATACCAGTATCGCGGGTTGGTAATAATAACGCACACACTCAACATAGCTAGGGAAACCTTGAGTCGCGGGTGCCATGGACATACACATAGACAACCACAAATTACACCCAGTCACTAGAGAAATAAATGTAGACCATACAAACATTTATCCCGACCCGGGAATCGCACCTGGGACCTCTGCATGGCAGTCCGGCATGGTAACCGTTCGGCCACAGAGGCACTTAAGTTGGTATCTCGATGATGGTAGTATGATTACGAAATAATAAAAATGAAATGCTGAACAATTGTGAATCTGAGTTACTCTTGTTCAAACCACCATAAACACAACAGGTCCACGCCTTTCTATGTTAGTTTTGATTATAGTGACTACCAACTTTTAAGGTACACGAGAAGGGCACTACAATCTGTGCGTGCACATGAACCTTACAGGAACCTTCTAAGTTCAGGTTCTGGTCCCAGATCATCCAGTGTACCGGGTTGTTACAGACCGTTGTCACGGACTACATCCGGTTCTCAAGAAGCTAGTGGCTCAGGTGAGACGGCCCGTGTGCACGTACAGTACCATAAACACAACAGTAAAAAAAACGCTTCAATACTGTAATTAAATAGCTCAAGCGACGTCTCGCGCTTTGCAACGTGATGCTCCACCAGAATATGGGAATGTGTGCGTCAGTACACGGTATGCAGCGGTCGCGCACACATACAAGCCGCATTGCTGTATGGAGTTACCCTAGTTGTCTTATACTATGATACTTGTATGTACGTAGTACTCACCACAATTTTGGCAAGACGGAGTTAATTCATAGCCAAATCTCATGTTGGGTGCTTCGGAAGCTGGTGGCATGTACGCATCTGCCCTTATCGTCAGCCCCTCCTGAGAGAAATGTATTATTGCATTATTTCCATATTATTGAGATCATGTTTGGACCATGTATGACATAATATAACGGGCAACTCGACGTCTGGGTGCCTTTTTTGCGTGTATTTGAAATCATACCCTTATAACTTTGTAAAACTTTTTTAAGAAACCAAAAAACTAATATATTTTTCATCACACTTACACGTAAACAGTATGATTGCATGCACTATGACACCCCAGATGAAACCCTCGGGCTTTTATTCTTCTCATTAGACGACTATCTAAGGAATGAGAAGAAAAAAGACCCAAGGGTTATATGTGAGGCATTATAGTCAAGTTAGCCTGCATTTAATGATAATATTTACTCACAAATGTGATAAAAAACATTGTATGTTTCAAGGGCGGCACGGGAATTCTGCCCTCGTGACGAAAACAGGCACAACTACGCGTACTTTATACGGCAGTTGAGCCTTTTTTCGTTCCGACGGCAGAATTACAAATTAATCTTCGACTTCCGGCTTCTAATAGAGTCTTGTTCGTAATTCCTGATTTACCGCCCTTAATAAACAATATACTTCTTTTGATGTTATTAATTCACGGTGATCCATATCAAACGTTGGAATTTTGATATGGGTTTTTCTCCGTTTAGTAATAGATTAATAATAAATATTATTATTAATCAATAAAGTAACTTTTATTATACAAAGGATTAGATAACATCCCAGTGATATAATCCTGAAAACCAGCACTGATTCATAGTATTACAAATAAACCTCTACTCTCTAATCATTTTTACTATATAAATAAACAAACAAAACACCCACGATGTTCCATGGTCCATTATACAACATATACAACAAACACATTTACCTTTTTATAACTATCAGCAAAAGATATCCACATAGAAAAAAATAATATAATCCAAAACATATCGCTTTTTTACAATAATTTGAATATTAAAGTTTTAAGTGCTAAATTATTTCACTGTCGGGTTTCAAAGTTTTTGATACACTAACTCATGTCTCCAATCTGATTGGACTTCTGCCTATTTGGTATCTAAAATGTCGCTCCTAAATATTTTATCACGAATAAATAGATCCAAGGTAAGCGCTGCTGGACGTGTTAAAACTATTAAAAAGTGCGCTACAAAGAAATTTACGCAAAAATAGTCATTATGCAGATATAAATTATTTATTAAGCCATTTGAAAGATGAAAAATACATACTTTTATCTTTTATCATTTGTTATTATTGGTTACATTCTTCTTCTTGTCATGTCGTTGGCATACACTATAAAGGTTCCCGTTGTGGTGAATGTGCCAGTTCTATTAATTAACCTGTGGTCAGAAGTACAGAAAAATAATGGTACCTACGTCGTGCGGAGAGGCTCCTTTCGTGCACCCTCTTTGGTTACACGTATTTTTTTTATATCGTCAAGTGACGGGATGAACAATTCGTGCGCCTGATGGTAAGCTACAGTGCCACTCAGAGCTTTAAATTGCAAAGACCTAAGAGGCACTACCTACTACTGCGCCTGTAACCGGAGACGTATGTTGACAATTCCCATGTGTCTGTAGTTTCACCAGCACAACCAGAACACAGTAATGCTGCCATTACTGCTTGGTGTCAAAAATAGGTAAGGTGGCAATACTACTTTGAACGAACTCTTTCACAAGGAACTCTACTGCTACTATATTATATTACTTTCCGTTGAGACAAAAATTATTTATGATTAGTAATTTCAGAGTCCGGATCAGAACAACATTAATAAGGTCTGTATCATCACTGTAATTAATCGCAAATACTTATTTTACATTACAAAAAAAAATCAATCAAACAAATCAATTAAAGATAACTTAATTTAGCAGCATATTAGCCGCTCGCGGCGGCTGTATAAGAGTACCTGCTCATTGATTTGGCAATGACCTCTGGAGTCAACGGCCGAACCGCCAGAGAGCGTCAATATTGCTCATAAATATTAAAATCAGCCTTATTAGCACCAGATAAAGATGAAATTGACTGCAATAATAAGAAGCCTTTAGACATTCACACTTTTCTTAAACTGCTTGTTTTTCCTTGAAGAGAAATCAAACAGAATTTTTTATTTAATAAAATCCAGACAGATGGAAAACATACGTTGTGTAATTATTATATTTACTTCTATAAGTGATCGTTTTTACTCAATATGCATATAAATCTTACAATCCCTAAGAACGATAAAAGCATACATCAGATTAACAAGATAAAAAAAAGTGTGACATTTACATGGCATTTGTTTTACTTAAATAAATTGTTACATTTTTAACCAATTTCAAAAAAAGGAGGTTCACAATTCGACTGTATGTTTCGTTTTGTATGTATGTTATGCGATAACTCTGACATTGTGAACCGATTTTGATGATTCTTTTTTTGTTGGAAAGAGGGTATGTACCTCAGTAGTGGTCCCATTTAAATTTGAAGAATATATCGACTGTGAACTAGCAACCGGTACTATCTCGATTTTGACAACTTTACAGGATGAAGACTTATTTGCGTCATTTATACAGCATCTGATTTTTTAAATAAAAAAAAAGGAATTTTTAAATATTTTTATTACACATGTTTTTAAAAACAATGGAATTTCTTGCAACGCTGCGGAGTATGTAACAGTATTAAATGGTATAAAAATATGAAACCTTTAGACAATTGTAATAGTACCGGTTGTCAGTTCACAGTCGATATTCCACATCTAAGGGTGGCAAATTTTTTTAATACTCTATACTTAGATTATATATTTAGCGTCTTCAAACTAGATGACTTTTGTTCCTACATTCGGGCCATTTTACAGAACGACCAAAATTTTAAATGGAGAACGCTAGACGCCATTACTTATGCCAGTACCTAACGGACCGAATTTCGATCCTTACATACAAAAGACATCAACGGAATCATTTTAGTATTCAAGCAATGTCATAATTTTATTTGTACCATACCGCAAAAGACAAAAAAATATATAATTAAAACAATAGTTAAAAATAACAAGGAACTGCAAAATAAGGAATAAGGAACAAGGACATTGTATAAAGTCCGACTTAGAACTGCAACAAGGAAAGTTAATACTTTAAGGAATTTGATCTACGACATAACACGCCATTTGCATTTTTGTTATATTTACTTTTTAAAGAGAGTTTTGTTCCAATAACCCATTAAACAAGTCACCCTCATAATGACACACGCAACAAAAAGGTTAGAAATCTCAAATAATTAGGTTTGTCTTTCTTAGTCAGAAATCCACTACATATTGTACAGGAGCTTAACCTCTGTACTGCACGGAGATGCCAATATACTGTTAACAGCCCTAATGTTATTATTTTTAATTTGTTAGTTAGATATTTGCACCTCTTTCCGAATACACTCCATATTTATTAAATCCATAGTTATTTCTTAAATTTGAGTACTTGGCCAGTATTTTGCTATTTTAATCTTATTGCAATAAATAAAAATTACGTGTTGTGAACGTGCATTCCTATGCAAAGAATATACATAAATTTAATATACCTAACGTATGTAAAAAACAGACTTTTAGCAACGAGGGGAGAAAAGGTCGAATAAAATAGTCAGATATTTTAATTCAACGAATGAAAGAAATATTCTTTATTGCACATTAAACATTACAATGACAACATAGAACGGTATTGTAAGTACATCACGAATTAACCAACAATTTTATTTTTAATTATTCGTAAATATTGTCGAGTCTAATAATATTCCTTTTAACAATTGTTACACATTGATAATAAAATCTCTTTTTTTTAATCTAAATCGCGTGTATTTGTTTTTCAAACAAATCAACGTTTTGGGCTATTTACAGGTTCCATTTTTAGACGTTTTATATCCAAATTTTTGTAAAGATCCATCTTTATTTCAGTTAAACAAAATAATTATACTTGATATCGTCACATTTATTAAACTCTACTGCTCATTCGTAAACCTGAGTCCCCTGATAAGAATGAGCAAGAAACTCTAAGGGTTGCTCTTTTAAATATACATTTGAATACATTTTTTTCAACAATTCAACATTTACAATATTTATTTCAATCATCGAAGATTGAGACTACCTGCAAAAGCTACACGAGTCACTACCACGGATTCCTGTCATCCAAGTACGCAGAAGCTGTATAATAACAGATTCCGGAGCACGTATTAAGATTACCATTTCCTAAGTTTAAAACTTACATAAAAGTATTTTAATCGAAAAGTCATATTACAGATTTATCTAACACAAAAAAGATGCATGGAAAGACGACATAGGTCCAGTTCCACACAAATTTGATTCAAAGTGTATTCCACAGCATTTAAGTTTACGGGAAAAGAGCAACCCTTAAAGTTTCTTGCTCGTTCTGCTAAGGGATGTCAGCACAGTGAATGATGACGTTTTCAATAGTAAGTTTATTTTACCTATAGAATAAAATGATTCTTTGACTTTGAAAATAACAACGGTTTAATTTCCTGTTCTTTACAACTAAACCTATGTTTTATGGCATCACTAGTTTATATTTCTATATTTAAATTTCAATTTACTTGATGTTATATTTCAATTGAATTCATAAAGAACGAATGAGCGCATTAGCTATGTTATATTATAATGCATATATTCGCATTGTCGGAATTAATATAACGGCTGCGCCAATTTCTTAAGGTTTTTGGTATCGTCTGTAAACGATAAAATTGCCCTCACAATTTGTAATAATTTATCGAAATTATCCACATGCACAGTGCATACAAAAAAAGTTAATAAGTTAATTAACTATATTGCTATCACAAAATAAATTAACTAAGTACAACTTATATAAAAAACTCTTAAATAAACTCTACTACTATATAATTACATGATCTAGCACCGTACTAAATGCATTTTATAAAATAGTTACAAATTTTTACTAAAAGAAAAAAAAATAACTAAAAGTTGCTTAAAAAAACCTTAAACGTTATATTTTACGTTATGTTTCTTTGTTATTGAGTGCTTATGGTGTGGTTGGGCACGTGAAAGTAGTAAAACCATGAACGAATAAAAGCTCCTATCATATTGAACAACTTTCCTATATAAATACAAAGGCTAATCGCGATTTTTTTTTTTTAATTTACATACAGATTGTCGGATCCACTGCTCGTGTTTTGTAAAAAAAGAAAAAATGTACAACCTAAACTTAGGGTAGTTTGTAACCGTCAATTTAAATTTCAGTAGTTATTTGTATTTCCCTATATAAAATGCTCATGAATTATAAACTCATGTTATGGATATTACTAATATTTTTAAAGACGTTCAAAGTATTTTTTTTTGTAATAAAACTTATAACACGAATAACTTTAGTAACAATGACTGATTTTGAATAATGCATCCAAAAAAATGAAAATTTTTGTAATTTCATTGCCTTAACATAATTGGATTTAGAATTGCTATAGGTAAATACAATTTACGGTTAATTTCCAAATACCTAGACAATGTATTACAAAAAATGAAAATACTAAAGTTAATAAGTTAATTAAGAAGCTAAATTCATAAATTCTATTTATGAACTGAGCCCTCTGACGTTGCTGTGCCCTTGCAAGTGTTCCGTCACATAATGTGTTCAATTTTCTATAATATGTAATAAACAATTGAAATTGGAATTGAAATTGAACATCTATAAGGTCGTGTTTGTTTTATAACACTATAAAGTTATAATGAAAAGTCTCAGCTACTTTTTAAATTGACGGCTGATCTGTATACATTTTATATCAAAATTAGAGATTTCGTAAACCACTTTATTAATCTGTGCAATAACAAGCATCTTGAGTATTTTCTCTGATCCATTCTAGGTAATTGGTGACTCTGGTGTAGACACCCGGGTAGCCTACTCTCGCGCAGCCGTTTCCCCAGGAAACGACACCTGCAAAATAATTATAACTGAATTAATGGACAGGCTGTAAGTACAGTCGATGCTCTAAGATAAGATAACCCCCTTTTGGTTTTGAAAGCCTTAATTATTGTAGTAGTTCCAGCTTTTTGGTTGAAATTTGTATTTATGTAATGCAATTAAAGATTAAGTTGACTTAAAAAGTTTCTTAAAACATTTATTTTATTTTATTTTATTTTATTTAACATCATTTATTAATGATGCAATAAGGAAGTCATATCAATATGAATATTATGCATTACCGGATTAATGTTAAATTTGCTTAATACTTTTCTTCATACTGATCTACTCAGAAACAATAGTCAGTTACGGGGTCAGGTATGTTAGGGAATCGACTGTACATACATTTTATACTATAGGTTACTATATTCGCAATAGCAAACAGACAAGACACAATTCATAAAAAAACTATTTCTTATATGGGCCTACGGAGAATCGAACCCGCGACATCCTTATTTATTAACTGCTGAACCACTATTGTCGTCATAGTCCTATAACTAATGTACGGGACCGACGACGACAATATTACGATTGTCTATAGTTACTTTGTTATTATTATTTGTCCGCAACTTAAGTATCCTATAAATAAAATAATTACGATCGTTACCTATCAGTTCGTATCTCTTGTCGTGCTTTCTCTCAGTTACGAGCGGTCCGCCGCTGTCGCCCTGAAAACCAGAGAAAGTGCATTATTATCTTGTTGTTCATGTTCATTTGACCAATAATAAATTGATGTACAATACAATGGGATAGTCTGTCAATGTCTGCAGCGGTAGATAATGCTTTTCATGACATTTGATGAGAGTGCCTTTTTTCAGTTAGTTTTATAGATGCTACTATTTTGAGCATTAAGATATTTAGTTTTAAACAATATAGAACGCAGATTACTGCGTTCCGGTTCACTTCACTTCACGGTTGCTTGGTGGCAAAAATAGGTATGGTAATTCATTTGCAAAAACCCCATACTGCCCCATTTTTAGTACGCCGTACTGCCCCTACCCTGGGGCATAATGGAGTTTTCTTAGCGTTCCAGTATAATTTCTTAACCGAAGATTATGGCAAATTATACTTTAACGTATTGCCAAAGAGTCGTGATTAGTTTTAAATTAAAACGTACATTTTTTTTAATACTTTTATTGGAGCTTGCCCTTAACGTTCCCATTCCCCTAAAAGGAAAGACTTTCTTTCTCATTGGAAATCTGCGCGAAAAAGGTTCTTCAAATTTGAACTTGACGATGGACTGTAGTGCACCTAACTTTTTCTTTCGATGAAAAAAGCACAATGACACGTTCAGTTACGCGATTTGTCGTACATTATTTATGTAATACATAAATCCGTTGGTATATTTTATTCTTATTATTGTTGATATTAAATTGACAACAATAACTAATTTTCTTTATTAAAACTGATTTGTTATCTCGCTACGCTCTGGATTCTATTTTTTAACCACTCGCTTCGCTCGTGTTTCAATCTTCGGCTCCTTCGCATGCTTACGTTTCAATACAAGTATTCGCGTCAAGCAAGAAATTTGCGCTCTTGCATAACAACTAACTATTGCATTTATGCCATTGATTATTTCTTTAGTGTTAATGCATTGTTGTTTCCTATCGCGAAATAAAATATTCAAGCTTCAAGTTTGGATTAAAAAGTTTAAATGGAACTTAAAGAATCGTCCTGATCACCAGATGATGTGGATTTGTTTTCTAGTTCTTTTCTTATGACATAAAATGTTAATAAGTAGTTTATATTAAATTTACTAACGTTTTCGCTCTCTCTTTCTGGGATGCACGAAAGGAGCCTCCCCGCAATGACGTACGAATCGTATTCCTAGTACGTCTGGCGTAACCAGGGCAACAATCTCCGAGGACCTTACACCGATTGGCAAATCCTTCACCACGACGGCAAACATATCTCATCCACAGTTCAGTATGCAACCTACTTGTGGCGTGATCAGCGTGGCCAAGTTGTGGGCCAATATAGTGTATACCATCGATACGATACGAAGACGAACTCCCCTTTTTAAAAAGTCATATCAAGTACACAAAAAAGCTACAAAAACTTGTTACCTGACATGAATCCTTTTGACCCGTCTTCGGATATCCAGCACACAACATGTTATCCGTGATCATAGAGGCAGTATACTTGGTGTTCCTACATTCTTCATTGCTGAGAACTGGTACTTCCACTTCCTGCAGAGTGCACGACACCTTTCCTTCTTCTGTAAGAGTACCCCAGCCAGCTGCCACGGCTTTTACTCCTACGTAGAGGTTATCTGAAATTGAGATGGTGTTAATTAAAAATGATGAAATAATGATCCCAAAGTAAGTAACTAAAGCACTCATGTTATAGAAACCGAAAACACCGAAGGTACCAAACCACCCAGACCCGAGACAATATAGAAAAGTTTTTTCTACACGATCCGGCCGGGGATGGAACCCAGGACCTCTGAGATGGCGACATCATGAAAACCAAAGTGCAAGCCACTCGTCTGAGGAGGTCGTCTAAACAATGTTTGTGATCATTCAGAGTGCAGGCGCGGGCGCGCGGGTCTTGGCGTCTTCCCTTTCACAGTGCCAAAGCGGCTACGAGCGGGTATATCCTCACGTCGAAATCTCAAACAGACGCTAGACGCTAGACCAAGCACTGACAAAGGTATAGGCGGCCTGAGCTAACAGATCCACCCGCGCGGCGGCACACGCACCCCCGCGTCCGTGCCCGCCTTGGCGCAGGTGCCGCCGGCACTGTGAACTCAAGGAGCGTCTACACATACCTACATTTGATTTACACGCAACCGCGCCCGCACCCACGGCTGCTACCTTTCTGAAAAAGAACTTAGAGATCATAATGCCCTTTAATTATTTTTCAATTTATATTAAAAAAACAATTTTAATTTACATTAATAATGCAGAAAAAATTTACTTCTGCTCTTAAAAATCACAATAGGAAAAGTCTGAACAAGAAATATATTTGGAAATGCTAATTCTTCTCTAACAAAAAATTGCCAAAAAAGAAAACTCGAAAAAGTACTTAAATAAAAAGTACTTAAACAAAAAAAATAAAATTAAGTACGAAAAAGTACTTAATTGAATATTTTATCAATAGTGGGATAACAACATTGGTCGACAGGAAGAGAGTTTGAACCTTTTGAATGCCTATCTCCTACTTTATTTATATTTGTTTATAAATAATATATATTTTAGAAATTAATTAATTAAGTAATATATTTTGACATATTTTTATTTCAACGTAACGTACACACATAAGTCTTATATTAGGGGTTAAAGTATGAAATTGCCGTTTTATTGCAATAGGTTCTTTGAATTTTCATAGAATCTTCATGGTTTGAGGTTTTCGAATGAAACTTTTTCCAAATGGTTTCTGTGATTTTTTTTTTTAAATTTGAAACATTTGAATATCGACTTTCAATTGTTTTTGTTATTCAATTTAGACAAGAAAGATGGATACTGCGAAAATTCGAGTGATTTTTGAATACGAGTTCCGACGCGGAACTAACGCGGCAGAAACAGCCCGCAATATCAATGCTGCGTTTGGAGAGGGGTCTACTAATGAACGCACCGTGCGATTTTGGTTTAAACGCTTTCGTGATGGAAATTTCGACTTAAAGAACGAGCCACGAGGAAGACCGCCCACACAGGTGAATAACGATGAATTAAGAGAGATAGTGGAAGCCGATCCTAGTCAAACTACCCAGGAATTAGCGGCATGGTTTAACGTTACCTTACCCACAATATTGACTCACTTGCGTCAAATCAATAAAATAAAAAAATACGAAAAATGGGTGCCTCATGATTTGACTGATCTGCAGAAAGAAACGCGTGTTGAAACTTGTGTTGCCTTGTTGAACCGGTACAGAAATGAAGGAATATTGGATCGAATTGTAACATGTGATGAAAAGTGGATTCTTTATGATAACCGGAAAAGAAAAATGCAATGGCTGACCTCAGGTCAAATGCCACAACAGTGTCCTAAAGCAAAACTTACCAATAAAAAGGTAATGGTAACTGTTTGGTGGTCTCAGCATGGTGTTATTCACTATAGTTTTCTCCGATCTGGTCAAGCAATAACGGCAGATGTCTATTGTGCCGAACTCCGAACCATGTTGACAAAACTAGCAGTAAAACAGCCCCGACTCATGAATCGATCTTCACCATTATTGCTCCACGACAACGCGAGACCTCACACAGCACGAGAAACCATTAAGACCCTTCAGGAACTGCAGTTAGAAACCATTCGTCATCCTCCGTATTCACCAGAACTTGCTCCAACGGACTACCATTTTTTTCGTGATTTGGACAATTATCTACGTGACAAGAAGTTTTCTTCCCAGGAGGCAGTACAAAATGCTTTCACACAGTTTGTGCAGTCTAGATCGTCGGAGTTCTATCGCAAAGGCATTAATAACCTTCCCATTAGATGGCAGCAATGTATAGATAATAATGGCAACTATTTTGATTAAATAAATTTGTTAAAAATTTAAAAAATAAACAATTTAGATTTTCAGTACAAATCGGCAATTTCATACTTTAACCCCTATTATAAATAGATAGCTAGCATTACTACAAATAAGAATTTTTAAATGCCAAAAATCATCTAAGTAACTGGTTTTCAATAACATGAGTTAAAAATTAAAAAGTGAAAAATTCCATCCTCTTTCAAGCTATGTAGTAGATGCGACAGCATCGTGTGGCGGGTGCGACAGTCAAATATATATATACCTATACGTACATACGTCACGTAGTTGAGGAAAACAATATTTGGTACACACGTCAACTCGTGACCGAATACCGCTTTGGGAGGGCAGACTGGTGGATATTTATTATAATGTATATAACGTAATGAATGAGAATTAAAGGGAGCTGCAACAACAAAAGCAGGTAACTAACAGTGCAGGAGGTTTCAGTCTGTAGGTCACTGGGTCCACATCCTAAAGAAGTCGGGCATACCTGGTCCGAACCTATAGCAGCCATGATGTTTTCCTCCTTCTCACGCCAAAAAAAAGAAAAAAGTAAAATGTGACTTACCGTCATTGCTAGGTAAGCAAATAGGCTTAATGGCATCAGATATGGGCACCCGCTCATTCAGCCGCAACAGAGCGATGTCGTTGTCGAAGTTAGAAAGGGTGAACTTGTTGGCTATAGCTCGGAGCACGAAACGAGTTTCGGGTCGCACTGTTGCGTTACAGCGGTTGTGTTCGCCGAATGTCACTTTTATCATAAACCACATAAACCTGGAAAACATAAATGATAACTATTTAATTATCCATCTAACTTTGAAATAATCTGAAACGTAGCATTAACAATTATAATTCTTTATTGCACGAAGAAAACACCAGGATCTCGGCTCCGACTACCTATTTACAGCCTTTGAGGTCGAAACCCTTGCCCCGTGGGGTCCCGGTGCCCTTCATCTGTACAAAATTTTATCCAAAAAATTAATAGGCTGTCTAGGAAACCCAAGGGCCGGCTGCTACCTTGCCCAACGCATTAGTATAGCCATACAAAGGGGGAACGCTGCCAGGATCTTGGGCACCTTGCCGCGGGGACCCAATATTATTCATATAATTTAATCCTTGTTTTACTTTGTAGTATTTAAGCTTTTATTGTGCATTACCTGTATATTATGAAAATAAAATAAATTGATAGGCTAAAAAGAAAATTCGTGTTAAAAAATTATTAAATTTAAAAATACATGTAACAAAGGATATGATACAGAGAACAAATGTGAGCTAATCTCTAGAAGAGATTTCTCCCAGCTAACCCTAGCCGTAATGAATAAAGAAAGTCTGCGGGACTAATGATTATACATACAATAAATTTATAAACATTTACATGTAAATATAAATATGTCTGAAATATACACCTACGTAAACTTTACGTACATAGATACGTACCTATATACGTTTCATATATGCGAATACTTCAGTTGCGATATACAGGCGTATTAAGCTGCCTTTATGTACCTAGGTCTCCCCCAAAGAGATGTTTTAGGACCTAATCTTTATGCAAAATTACACTTCGTGCAATTTCCCTCGCCACGTTTTTTTTACACGGCTGACGCAATTTAGTGATAGTGATATAAACGACAGATTCCTCGAATATAGAAATCTGACACTCGTGCGTGGTCCATTCTCCGTACTATCGCTGCTTAAAATTCAATAGCTGTTAATGTACCGTCACCTGTACTTCAATAGCCAATGTAGATGCCAAGTGACGATGCCAAAGCGAAAGTGATCGGTTTTCGGCAGTTTATAAGCACCAGTGTATTCTATTAATGGCTCATTTACGCTTTCACTTATTATTGCAGAATACAATTTTAAGGTATTATTTACACTACGTGTTGTGTCTATTGCTATAGGTAGGTATATCAAGTGAAGAGCTTCCGACATCCGACACCGAGAAGTCCTATGAGTAGAAAACTTTCGACCATATTATTTAACAATGCCTCTTGTATGGCGCGCTTTATACGCTTACTTTATTATTTTTTCCATAGTTAGGTAATTAAATATTATTATTGATATAAAGACCGAAAAAACACAAAGAAAATTCTTGCTTATTGCAAACCAGCAACTGTTTGCACGACCGACGCTAATTAAATCGAAGGAATTTGTCTTTTATTTTGTTTGTCTTGGTATCAATAATAACACCAAACTAGTGTATTATGTTAGAGAAAGTACAGAAAGCGTTTCTTAGATATTTATACAAACGTGCCAATGGGTGCTATCCCTACATGTATCCTACTGCTTTTCTACTGGGTTGCCTAGGATACAACTCGCTGGAGGTTAGGCGAATGAAACACCAACTTGTGGTTATGTGCAAAATTATCCGCGGCAATATAGATTCCCCAGATTTGCATAATGAGCTGTGTCGACTCTTTGCCCCCGTCAACTACCAACGCATTAGAAGACACCAGTTGATGGCCACCGCGTGGTGCCGAACCGTAGCGCGCGCTAAATCACCCATACCGCGCTCCCTGTGCGCGCTCAACTCTCTCCTCGCCACCAACCCTGAATGCGACTTGTTTGCGGATGGATGGTCACTGTTATTGTTAAGATGTCTACGCTATTGTGAAGGCGATGCTTGAATGGTACTTAATTTTGTTGTGTTTATCAAGTTGTTATGTTAGTAATGTATCTTTAATTATTGTAATTGGTGTGTCCGTTGTAATTAAAGTAAAATAAATAAATAAAATAAAAAACTAGTGGAGTATTTTCCCAAAAACTATATGAATATCACGGTAGTAAAAACTTCACGATATTCAGGTAATCTCAGTACAGTGTACTAAAAACCGACCTCAAAAGTTCGTGAAATTACGTCTATTTGCCAAGTTTAATTGAAATCAGTTACTGGAAAGTGCACGAAACCGGATTCATCCCTAGTTTGCCAACCATAGAGGTGGAATATTTTCTACATATTTAAATGGGACCGATATCGAGGCACTCTCTTTCCAACAAAAAAAGAATCATCAAAATCGGTTCACAAGTGCCAGTCATCGCGTAACATAATTGAGAACCTCCTCAATTTTTGGAATCAACCGACTATACTAAAAAATAAAATTATATATATAATTTTTTTTTTCTTGTTTTGTTGTGCACATATGCCCGTTCTTTTAGTTATAGTGTCCCGTATTTAGGTCTGCAGGAAGAAATTTCTATTAGAAATAAGCAGAACCTTTTGTTTTTTATTTCCCTTGTATTCTTTGTGACTTGTTTGTTGTATTTCTCCTGTACCATAAACTATAAAATAAATATTATAATTTAAATATACGAACTAAATTTACAAAAATAATATGAGTAAATTTTCATTTACGTAAAGTTTATTTGTATGGTTAGACTGTAGATTTTTTCTGTAGACAAACATTTAAGACAAAAATCTGACCGTATGGCCAAAGTGGACATCTCTTGAGGATAATGAACTTTAAGTTTGGAGCCTGCTCCGGGCCGGTTTAAGGTTAATGTACGGATTGATACCAGGGCCGAACTCTCAACCAATGTTACACAATTTATTTCCATCAAATAATATAATTCTTTATTGCACCAAAAAATATAAAGAAATATAAATTATAGAGCGAGCAAAGGTGGACTTATCTCTCAGAGAAATCTCTTCCAGCCAACCATCAATTATAAAATTCCAACAGAGATTTTGAATGATTTCATAGATATATATTTTATTCATTTATAGAAATTAAATTGCAATGTTATAATAAAAAAGAGTGCTGTAATGTTCACGTAATACAGAATAAAACAAATCGAATTAACACTGCAATAAAAAACAAATGTTATGATGTTGGTTCACCGAAAGTAGTTTTCTTAACCAACTGTAGTCACTGGTCTGATCTATAAACTTTGACGTAACTATTCAATTTGGGCATAATTCGGCCCTGGGCGGTATGTAGGTATCGGAATTTGCAAATATGGACCAAGAATTTATTTGGTTTAGACGAGTCTACCCAAGGAGACCATCGCTTAGGTTATCGGACTTGTAAACGCGGGAGTTATTTATTATGCATAAAATACACCATAATACATTTGAAAATCTACTGTAAATTAATTAAAAATAAACAATCTGAAACGTATTATTATTGATAGACAACTATATCATTATTGATAGACTATCTAACACTGCCTTTACAACTGAGCTTTGCATGTTTTGAATTGTTGATGCTTTATGAACTAGTACTTAAAATATATAGTTTTCCACTGGCAAGACGAGACGAGACGAAGCGAGACGAGACGAAGCGAGACGAAGATTGAAATTTGTATGGCAAAATGGAATTCTCTCCTAGCGCATCTTCGGTGGAACTATTCTGCATTGACGAAGTTGTTCGAGGCTAGAACTAAAATATTTGGTAATGCAATATTGAACCGTATTGCTGCCTTTATAGAATTATTAATTCTGCAACCACGATTTCTCGCGCGAGCTCACGATGGCTATTAGTATATCAATCGCGAGATTGTGGGGTACGTACGATTTGAGATTTAAAAAAGATGGCTTCATCTGATTCTTCTTCCGTTAACATATTTAATAATAACAATTTACGGGCAATATTACTTCAACCGCGTAATTATCGATAAATGAGCTGAACAACCCAGAGAAGACTATCCATAACCGCAGCGCCAGCACGCGCGTGCTCGCGAGGGCTCGCAATGGCTATTAAAGGTAATTTTTGGTGGAAATAGATCGGGAAGATTTCAATTCTCGTTTCGCTTCGCTGGTGGAAAAGCACCTTAAGACCCAGCAAACTATAGTCAAAGCAAACGGCAGCACATCAAACTGAACATTGACGGATGTTGCTCCGTTGCACTGGAGGCGGTATTCGAGCAAACATGTATAGCTTGATGTGCCGTTGACTGTAAATCAAAATGTACTAATTATAGCTTCAAGCCTAAGCAAGTATAGTAAGCAGCCTCACTTTTGTATGAAAAACACATTTTTTCTAGATATCCTATGGACATACAGAATTCATAGCGCTGAAGTTGAGTGCGATATTTTGATGACAATGTGCACTAGATGTTTACGTGGTCATAGCAGTAATATTGTCTGGGTCTGAATCACTTCTCATATTACGTATATTGTGATGTACACGGGACCATAGAGGGACAGACTTCATATAAATTTTTTGCTACTTTCTACCTCCAAAAATTACTGATGTATTTTTATTTAAATATTGTACAGGAAAACACAAATCACATTTAGTAAAACGGAAAACACAAACAAAAGGTACTGTTTATTTCTATAAGAAATTTCTTATTGCAGACCAAAATACTGGACACAATAATTATAATAACGAGTTTATTATATACAGATGTATTAGGCTGTTTTGTCTTCATTTATGTACCTATATGGCTACATAAATGAAGCCGTAGTAGCCTACATACGTAGTAGTAGTAGACAACAATACAAGCCGTAGTAGCCTAATGACTACCTACCTTCCGCCTCGCAAGTGGCGACCGTGAGTTCGAATCCGGCCTCTGAGTCTCTCGGAATTTATGTGAGAAATTTAATTTGAAATTTACCATGAGCTTTTCGATGAAGAAAAACATTGTGATGAAACCTGCTCGACGAAGAAGGTTCAACCCTCGAAGAACGTCTGAAATCCCCATCCCGCATTGGTCAGCATAGCCGACTATGGCCTAAGCCCTCGCCTGAGAGGAGACCCGTGCTCAGCAGTGCGACGTATATATAGGTTGATGATGAATGGCCCTACTTTACTTATAAAATATATAACATACATAATAATTAGTATGTATGTTATCTATTCGTTTGATTATAAAAACTTTGAGATACGAAAGTTCATGGCTTAAAAAGTAATTATAAATCTTCTTTGTGACAATCGGGTGTTTTATGAGCTGCAGTCGCAGTGCAGTCCCATATTTTTCACTTGCATTACATTAGGTACTACCAACAAATAAGGTACTAAACAAACAGGTAAAAAAATAGAGTCACCTTATGAAAATAACAAAATATTCCAAGTTGACGTAATCATCATTTACACTCAATATTTTAAATCCTTTTCCTATATGATCTGTCATTAGTTTCACATTAACCCAGAACCAGTGAATGATATAATTCATTAAAAGTAAATAGTCACCATTGTTTTGTCTATATTAACCTTAATTATGCTTTATGTAGACCACTAACACCTATAACAAACCATACTGTAAATATACTTTGTTTAGGTGCCTATTGCAATAATAATAAATCAATAAAATAACAATAAGGAACTCATCACACTTATTGATAAGAAACCGCATTAAGCTGGTCGGAGAAATAATCAATACTTACTTATTTACTTATTTATTTATATACTTGATTACTTATTTCATGGACATAAGGCTTTTATGTCCGGTTCAAGCAGATTTTATATTAATATGTGACTCCCTAAATCGACCAAACAAAACCTAAGCAAGAAAACCTTTAAATATATGTATATCATCACACCGACTACATAGCGATACCTAGGTTTCTCAAACACGTATCTTATTCGGCAGATGAAAAAACTAAGTACTTAGTACTAAATTTCTTTCAAGGTATTTTTTGTAAGGAATTTGGATACAATACTTCAAAAATCAATAAAGGCTATAAATTTAGATGTACCTTACGTAAAATCAGTCTGTGATTTTGTATATGAAATGCATTTTTTGAGATATAATTTTGCTGGATTGTAAAATCTGTTATTTTCAGTTACTTTTTGCGAAAGTTAGGTGGTAATAATATATTACGTTCATACGTGATTAAAATATCTGTAATTAATAATTAACTAACAATTTGTAAAGCAACCGTATAACTTGAAAATCAGTCTGTAACCTTCTAGTCTTTATTTCCGTATTGAAGTTCAGACTTCGTTTCGAAAATGAAAATCGACTTCCGCTCGAAAATAGATGTTTAGGTAAGAGGTTTATACTTGGGAATGGCTGAAAGTCACTGGGTGATGATGGCTGTAATTTAGAAGCTAATCATCAGCTTACACGCATCCACCGCTGGATATAAGCCTCCCTTGAGCACGCTAACTCTCCCGGTCCTGTGCCACCCGCATCCAGCCGCTTCCAGGCAACTTTTTCTAGTCGTCCGCCCATCTTGCTGCGGGGCGTCTTACACTACGTTTTCCTTGACGTGGTCGCACTCCAGAACAAATCTGCTACATCGGCCATCAATCCTCCTGCAGACATGACCGGCCCACTCCCACTTAAGCTTTCTGATTTTGAGAGCTGTGTCGGTCATTTTAGTTCTCTGACGTACGACCTTATTAGGGATTCGGTCCATCAAAGAAACCCTAAGCATACCTCGCTCCATAGCGCGCTGAGTGATTTTAAACTTGTGGATAATGCCTTTTTTATGTCTACATAACTGGTAGAACGCACTGGTTAAATGCCTCAGATTTTAGGTTTTATGGTATTGACGAGCTGAAGATGTAAGTAACCGTAGTTACATCTTCAGGAAACGCTAGCTTGGGAACCTTCCCAAGCTAGCGGTTGGAAGCTAAACGACAACTTATTTCACATTATCATAATAAGCATCTTGTAATATTGGGGTGACGTGTAATGCTGCCAGCAGCAAATAAATACACAAGTGAAATCTCAGACTTTCAACATCCTACAATTATTTCTGTTCAAACACTACACGCCACTTATAGACACGTCGTAGCTTAGTTGAACATTTATTTGACTGTGAATATATTTTAAACATCCACTGGAACATTTAACAAAGGTATCAATTTCTCTTGTTTTAACTTAATAGCATAGTCAAAACGAATTGTATGCCTACTTCCATGTTAGGAAAACCTTAATGAGGCTTGTAAGCTTTCCGTTGAACAAAAGAATGACGCTTACCTTAAGTACGATGATTCTAATGATAAATATAACAACGAGCTAAACTTACTTTCAGTTCTCATTTCAATTTTCTCTAACACTGGCGCTCCATCATATCGAAACGAAATGTTGTGTATGATCTATTTCTCCTTGTATAACAAGCTTTCTGCACGGTCTTTATGACGGCTGAAGATTGATATCTCTTCACGATCGCCACTATATAATGGATCGTATGTAAATTTGTACAAAATACAAGAGTATTTCTGAAAGATGTCATTTATTGAAATGTAATCGTATTCTACCTTCAACTGTTCGTGATAGTCTGTGAAAGAGCTCGTCCAGGAAAGTATACTACCACCTTACCTATTTCCGCTTCCAAGCAGTAATGTGAGCATTACTGGGTTTCGGTTGTAAATGGTAAGGGTGCAGGTGAAATTACAGGCACATAGGACTTGTTACTCAGGTCTCAGAGTAATGGGCGCAGTGGCAGTACCCCCTCAAATCTTTGCGATTTAAAGCTCTGAGCGGCACAGCGACTGTTATGGACAGGCGTGTCACTTACCAACAGGCGTACGACGTCCAACCCACAAACCAAACAATCCGTGGTTCAGCCACTTGGTATCATAAATAAAAATTATCTTCAATGGAAATGGGTTTAGAATATAACAATACAACACATTATCGTGTCCATGTACTCTTCCACGTGGAACGACATGGAAACAATTGTAACGTTAAAATGTCATGTTTATTCCCATAAGTTCCCAAGTTTAAAAAAAAAAAAAAAAGTTCCATGTTAATTTTAAACTACTATTAACCCGACTCAAAAAAGAGGAGGTTCTCAATTCGTCTGCATTTTTTTGTGTGTAAGTTACGCGATTACTCCGCGTTTTGGAACTGATTTTGATGATTCTTTTTTATTAGAAAGAGGATACCTCAGTATTGGTCTCATTTAAATTTCAAGAAAATATTTTTTTTATAAGAACTAAGTGACGGGACGAACAAGTCGTTCATCTGATGGTAAGCGACACGTTTATCCATAACAGTTGCAGTACCACTCAGAGCTTTAAATCCTGAGACATACGTAGACAAGACCCACGTACCTGTAATTTCACCAGCACCCGTACCCTTCAAAACCGGAACGCAGTAATCCTCACTGTAAATGTAATAAAGTTTTAAATCGGTACTTTAAAAAAAAAATATTATTACACCTGACGTTTCTTCCCCAAATGATCTTTAGAAGTTCATTAACCCCATCTCTAAGATGAACAAACGTTTTAAAGAGACTATAAATGCAGATATGCATGCCATAATAAAACACTGTTTTATTTTTACCACATTGATAGAAACATAAAAAAATATATAATAACAAACAATGGCTCCTAACTTACCCTTTGACACAATGAGCAGCAGTAAGCACATATCGGTCATTGATAAGCATTCCTCCACAGTAGAACTTCTTGAAATAAGTCAGTTTTGCCATCCAGGGGAACTCGTCTATGCCTGCCTCGTCGCCTCCCACGACGCGGGACACTTCGTTCCGCTCACCACACTCTGCAATTCAATCACATTTGGTATGGTTTATTTATTTTTATGATCAGGAATTGAGTGGCAATTTTTATACCTACTTATATACTGGCTCTTTCTCCTATCCTTGAATCCGGAATACTGAAATAGAGTAGTAGTACCAGGCGGGTTCCGCCCATACATCCTTAATAATAACGTGTTTGTGTAGCCGACCATTAAAATTTAAAAGAACGTGCAAAATAAGTATAATATTTCGTTTTTAACCGAGTAGAAAAAAAGGAGGAGGTTATACATTCGGCTGTATGTATGTTTAATGTATGTTTTCCGATTTCTTTGTTGTTAATTGTGGACCGATTTAAAATTATTTTTTTTGTTTGATAGGGTGCAATCTCGTGGTGGTCCCATTGTCACCAAATCAGTATCTGATGTAGAGATCCCACGAAAATCCAGGAAAATACTCAAATTTTATAGACATGTCAGTGTACTCACCGATTTCTCCGACAATTGTAATTTTGAAAATTCTTTTTTTTTTTCAAATCAATTTTTTTTTAAATACTATCATACGTTGCATTGCCAAATTACATAATGACTGATATTGTGTAGTGTTATTTTTTTTAAAAACTATTTTTTTAGTTTGCAAAAATTACTTTTGAAATCTTTTCTTATAATAACAGTTACGGGATGAACAAGTCGTGCGCCTGGTGATAAGCGACACGCCTGTCCATAGCAGTTGCACTGTCACCCGAGACATACGTTGACTAGTCTCATATCCCTGAAACTTCACCAGCACCTTCCCTTCAAAACCGGAACGTAGTAATGTGAGCGTTACTTGCTTGGCGACACAGACAGGTAACTTTCCTGGACGAACTCTTTCACAAGGAGCTCTACTACTAATATAATTAATTGTACACCAATAAAAACACAATTTTCCTCATATATCATCCAATGTGGTGGCGGTATCACTGTTTTTTTTCCTTAATCGTAATGTCGATTCCACACTTTCTTTTTCAGTTATTTCCTACATTAAAATTTACTCTTGTTCGAGTCTCGGTTCTAACTTTCTTATTAATTTAAATACAGTTGAAAATAAATAATTACTATATTTAAAACGTCTCGTAAAAATAACACGTTCCTATCTTATTGACAACACATTGTGATGTACTTATTAGTTACAGTCCTACTTAGATTTCACTTTCGATCACTTTCGATGTATTTCTACCTAGTAACAATTGAGAGAATAAATACTGTAATGGATTTGTGTATTATTATTGCTACAAAATCTAGTATTTTTTATAAAAACTAATAAAAACTTGAATATGAAATATTATTATACAGTTGCACAGATTATCCCTAATGTAGCCGCTAGACCCAAGCAGAAGAAGTAGAAGATCTCGACGTCCTCGTTACATTAAAGACGATTATAGTTTACGGTAATGTATTGGCGGTTTCTTGGAAGAACAAATTAAAAGTGAACGGTATTTTTGACCTTTGGTAGTTTGTACAAAAATTTCGTTAAAAATGTAGTAGGGTAGTTGATTGGTACAAAATAGAACCTCCCGGCTTACGGCTACACTTGACGAATGTTTTGTTATTGCTTCGAAAATTACATTAAATTAAAGCTCACGTTACTGCTTGGTGGCAGTAGTAGATAAACTTGTCTGGGTGAACTTTTTCACACGGAGCTCTACTACTACTTAAATCAATATTTCGTGAATCGAGAGCGCTATTCTAGTATCTACCAGGCCCGTACTTGGGAATGGCTAAAGCTCTCTGGCTGATGATGGCTGTCTTACACTATTCAAAAAATGTAAAGTATCCAACCCACATTTAGTCAGCGTGCCAAGTAAACACTGATTGTCACGGATAATAAATTAAGCATACTTACTGCAAGTGCACGTGGTTTTGGGTAAGTTCATTTCCATCAAAGGAGGTCGGTTGCCCCATACCCCACCAAAGAAATTCTTTGTGAATACTCCTCTAGTATCCCGCACTACATCTCCCTGGCAAAAAAATTTTAATACACCTATTATAGTTATGTAAAATATACCTGCTCCTATATTTTTAAATTGAATGTTTTAGACAACGATATCAAGAAATATCAAGAAAAATAATCTTACATAAAAGCTATATAAATAATAAATGTTTAAATTAGAGAAAACATGGACTAAAATAGAACAAAAGAGTATACATTTTCGTTTAGATATGTATTTTTATTTATTTGAATAAGTTAATAGGTAAATAAATAAAATAAAATTGCAATTACAAACCTCAGAACAAGTTAAAGTCAAAGCTACGAGCACTATAACAAAACACTGCTCCATTTTTTTTAAGTAAAGGAAATATTTTCAAAAGTTTAAATTCAAATTCGTAATTATTTGGCGCGCTGCTGGCGCTTTATTCGTTGTTGAAGTTGGCGCGCACGATGGTCAAGCGACACTGAGACGCGTCGCCGACCTTAATGTTACGGTGGCAAGAACGAACGTCTGACGTGATTCGGGTGCCAAAGCCCCACTCAACGTCTAATGATCGATACGACATTTTGTACAAGATGGCTGTAGACCTCATATATTACAGATTACTTTAAAATATTAACTAAATACTTAACGAGGCTTGGTTTAAACACAACACACACATTGTTTATTTAAACACGTTATGTATCCAAAAATAAATAGGTAGGTATTTACAACAGGTTTTTGCTCATCACGTTTTACTATTATCAATCTTTTGATTTTGAAACATAGGTAGCTATCACTTGAATTACCTTCAGTTTCATAAATCACTACAACAATCAAATATATTCATATTTTATATATCAAATACATATTCTCTAACACTGCCGATAGGGTCCAATAGCCTATTGTTGGTGATTATGGCGTATATATTATTAGTAGGTTACCTACCTACTTTTAGTGTCTGAGACATATTCCAAAAGTAGAACCATATTTATATATTAGTCATTTGGCTATTTGAATAAAGAAACTTCTTAATTGATCACTTATAATGATCCTTTTGGTGCAACCGGTCCACCTGTCTAGCGAAAGTGGCTTTCCACAAGCGTTTTTGCACACTACCGCTGCAACAGCCAACTACCATTTAGCATACACACAATACGTGAATTACCGCCTTACATGCAAATGTTATATGTTAAGTTAGCCTTCATGTGTTTAGTGTGATGTATAATATATGTTGAAGAAATTCTGTTTCACCATTTCCATAGGTTATTACTTGTATTGCCTGTACACCGCTTGGAAGTGGACAATTTTGAAATTCACATTTTCATTACAGATAACTGATTAAAAAGTGTAAATTTAGGATACTCGTCGCAGAAATGGTAAATAAATAAACATAAATATTAGACGAGATATTGTGTATACGTTGCTCTGATCCCAAAGTAAAAAAAAGAAACAACGACAATACCACAAACACTCAGACCCGACCCAATGCAGAAAAGATAATTTTTGCATTGACCCGGGTCAACCTGGAACCTCAGAGATAGCGATGAAAACCAGTGTACGTTCTATCACAGAGGTTGTCAAATAAGAAATAAATGGTATTTTTTAATACCAACTAGACGGAAAACTGGCACTTAATTAATGCAACGTAAATAAGGCAACTAAACCTAATGTAATAAGATTCTCTGACATGTTTGACATTAGTTTAAAAAGTGTAGAGATAAAGGAAAAAAGAAAGATTAATTTAAAAAAATTTAATCAGCACCATGTCACATTAACATAGGTTATAGAAGCAAATCGACAATTCCACGAGAATTATATAAAAATAAATTAGGACCTTTTTGGTACGACGCTATTAAATAATTCTGTTTTTACAAATCTCAAAAATTATTTAGATAAAAAATTACATTTTCATTAAAACGCCTAAGAAATTAAACACAATAGTAATACGAACTCTAACTAGTACTTACATATTTTTTATGATTTATTCATATTTACACATTTAGTAACAAAATAGTACCGTACGAAAACAAAACTTACAAACGTATTAACAAAGGTAGACCACAATCGTATGTAAAGAAAAAATAGGGAAAAAAGAAACTTATGAATTTTATCATCTGACAATCATTCTTGGTGGCGTTTCTGTAGCATACAATTTCTTACAACTGATTTCACAGGTTTTACCAAACTAGCTTTTATTACTTTCCTTATATACTAATTATACGTATTGAAACAACAATAGTGTCTGTCTACTATAGTACCTATTAAATTATTAATTAAATATTACCTCTGGTAATTAGAACTCTCCAAATATTAAATGTACATTAAACAACTAGAATATATGTGATAAAATGCAAATAAATATCTGTTTACAAAAGAGCAACCCCTAGAGTTTCATGCTCATTCTTCTCAGGGAAATCTGCCTTATGAGTGAGAAGTGATGTTTTATCAACGTGATAATTTCAAATATAATTTGCTTACCTATGAAATAAAGAATTTTTATTTTAGAAGAACATATTAATAAGTATATCAAATATGAACCAAGAATGACCGTTTCTTGTGAAAAGCATTGCTACATGGACATTGACGACAAAAGTTAGAGGCCTAAAAACCTGAGAATATGGTTTAGAAATGACCACAACAGTATTGTCACCTACAAACTACAAATATAACAACTAACATTAAAATACATAATTAAACAAATTTAACGTGAGAGGATCACAGGTACAGCCTAAAGAGCGTTGATTTTCTTAATCTGTTTTTTAAACCTAACTAGTATTGTTATTTAAATTTAAAAAAAACTAACGTTAATAAGAAAGAATAAATTGAAAATAAATTAGTACGTCTAGTAAATTAGTAAGTTATGCTATGAATATGGAATGTAAACTTTATTAAAGAGGGCAAATAATTGCTATATACAGTAAACAATAAAAAATACTGATAATAAAAATGCTACGATGTATACCAAATTGCAGTAAGACAGTATCTACAACAGTAAGAATTTTTTAATATAAAGTTATATAAAAAAAGTGCATTTGACCTCCATCTCAACCTGATAGAAAGCGACGATGAGGTCATCGACGTATAATACACACCTAAACAATGCCTATTCATTTTTTTGTTATGTCTCTCGGTAACAGACGCAGTGACAAATCCCCTCAGATCTTTTCGATTTCTGAGGCACTGCAACTGCTATGAACAGGCGTGTTGTTCAAGACTGTTTGTTCCGTCACTTGTAATCATAAATAAATATGAAGTTCAATATAAATGGTTGCATAAGATAACAATGCAACATAATAGATGTTGATAGATGAAAATCGATGTACAAGTTCATGCAAAAAGAAATGGATGGATAGATGAAAATTAATGCAAAATTTCATACAAATACAGGTGGAAGGAGAAATGGCATTGATTGGAAGAATGCCTCATGGAAATACTTAACTGATGAATTGAAGAACATGTCACCAGTATTGAAAAAATATAGGATGATTCTTATACAAAAAGGCAATCAATAGGCTTATAATACAATGATGATGGTATTATGTAAGTAGTATAAGAAAATGTCTGATAATTTCCAAAAACTAATTGATAATTCTCGCACTTCCAACAGTCTGAAAATGTGATTCAGAACAGTATCTCAAATTAAGTTTCATTTGCAACTCCCATTTAACAAATGAACAATGATTAAGCGATGGAACTAATCCATACAATTCAACTTAAAATTAATTTAAAATATGTACAATTGAATCAAATGAACACTTAGGTAGTCATATTTCGTCTTAATTATTAACTAATGGTAATCTGCACCACCGGCCTGACCAATACAAAATAAATTTACAAACAAAATGTCGTTCTTAATAACTAAAAAAAGGTCCTTTCCTAATAATAGATTTATGAAGCTTAAAACTACAAACAAACGTAGAATGTCTACTAATATTTTCATGCGTATAATTTGAAAGACAGAGAAAGATCGATATCAAAAAATATTACTAGGTGAAAAAAGATTTTTAAGGTACCTTAACAAAATTATAACCATGAATATTATATATTCATATTTTTGTTAAAAAGAAACGTTATGTGTAAAAGTGAATAATTCTCTAAATGAAGCGTTAATATTGGAAACAAAAATGCTTAATTGGATTTCTTACGCATAAAGCAGCGGCCCGCAAAAGCCACAAATAATAAAAATGACTACATATAAAGATAATAATAAAAACTTACTAAAGTAATTTAATAATCTATCGAGTATTTTGTAATTTTGGTTTTATGTCAAAACTGCTAACAAAACGATGTGGTATGACACTTATTGGCAATTGCCAAGTAAATTATTAAACTAAGTAAGTACTACAGTGAAGATTCGTCAAGCCTGACCTTTAGGATTTAAACTCAACTCTATCACGCATATACATACGATTTAGAACGCTTTAAAATTCAACGTGTCAAGATTGATAAATTCGTAACTGTATTCGTATAAATGACAATTATTATTTCATTTTCTTTGCCGAATGTAAAAAAGTTATAGAAAATTAAGTTCGTTTACCTTATTTGAGGATTTTGTCGGTCTTCATATTACAGTGTTACATTTTATAACTGATCTCATTATAATTGAATATTTCAGGCAAAAGTTTGCAATTATTTTGCATATACTTAGCACCTTTTATATTAGATATTAAACAATTTTAAAAAAGTCGAAAAATTATAATATAGTTACGATACCACATGCACAAATCCTGCAAGTGACGTCGTCGTCAAGAGAATCGTACTAGTATTTTCGACAAACAATTACAGTCAAATTTAATTAGAACATAGACATGAATCTCGCAAATTTGCTCTCAACCAAGTTAGATACCGCGTGATCCTAGTGTACACTCCTGGGTAGCCGGGTCGGCCGCAACCTACACCCCACGATACAATACCTGAAAGAAAATAAAAATAAGTTCCGTCTGTATAAATATATTCTTTCCTGCACTTACGTCATAACAGGCAATCGAACAAAAATCTAAAATATATTTATAAAATAATAATGTCCATACTCCAGATTATTTGTAAAATAACAACCTCTCAGGACTATATTACTAACATCACAAAGAAGAACTTTTGTTGACTTGATTGAATGACTTTTAATAATTCATCAAATAGTACTTTCGTACAAAAATCAAAATATTTTTAAATAGATCGCTCTGTACGGTGATAGCACTGTGCGGTAACAAAAGAAAGCGCAAGCGTAAATACCAGAACCTAGGTAAACAAAGAAACAAGACGTAGATAAAAACAACACTGAATTCACAGTTAGCATGTTATCTTGTGTTCTTTCTCCATATAATCACATTTTAACTAAAACTGAAAAAATGTTGGATTGAGAATAGTAGTAATATTAAGTTTATTGAGCATCATGATGTTTTACTACCTGATATTCAATTATTTTTTAAGAAATTACTCCACTAGTTTGCTATAATTATTAATACCAAGATCGTAAATTATGAAATATTCCTTCGCTCTGGCTGAATTCGAACCAGCGCCTTTAGCATACCGTGCCTGACACTCTCTCAACTTAGCTACCTAAGGAACGAACAGCAAACCTTATAAATTTGTTTATGTGCTTGTTGCATATCTTTGATTTAGGTTTTTTACCGACTTTTTTGCCGTAGCACCATCTGTGAGAAATCTGTGAAATTTTTTCTCCGCTCAGACAGGTACCTTTACAGATACCTGCGGCTGACTAGAAATGGAATAAGAACAGAAGTCATCAACACGTATGTAAGTTTCTCGCAAGTGGCAAATGCACGTTGTCCAGTTTGTTTACCTAGCAATGACGTCACGTGTTCTAAATTGACATAGTACCGTATGCGCGGCAATTAATAAGATATTAGAAATCATATTTCTTTACTGTACCCGTGTTTTAACCATGCAGAAGAGGTTCGAGTTACTGCCAAAGTTCGCACTGGCTGTTATAAAAACCAACATTTTTAATACCACCGTCTGTCATTGCTGTCTTACTTACCAACAATTTGGTATTTGTCTCCCTGTTGAATTAGTAGCGGTCCACCACTGTCACCCTGACAGGAATCTGTGGACGCCCGGCCAGCGCATAGCTGAAAATCGCAATTAGGCACATTAATAAATAACTATGTTATTGTTCTTCCAATTCTCTACTTTTACAACGAAATATATTTTTCAGAGTTTACAACATTTCTTGTATATAGGCCTTAAAATAAATACGCAAAACGTCTCCAATTTGATATTGTATTATCGTTGTTAAGCAAAAAGTAAGCACGGACATCACTTCAGCTGTAACTGCAACTGGATTGACTGTGGTGCTGCGCTTCTAGAAATTGTATAAAAATTTGTAAAGGAGCTACGCGCCAGATGGGTCCTTATTTAAGTTTGTTGGTTCTCGTACGTATTATTATTACTTAATTTTTTTTAAGCAAATTCAAAAAAAGGAGAAGATTTTTAATTCGACTGTTTTTTTTTTTGGTGTGTATATTGTGATTACTCCAGTATTTGTCAAACGATTTGATGATTCTTTTTTGTTGGAAAGAGGGTTCCTCACTATTGGTCCCATTTAAAGTTGAAGAAAATATTCCACTTCTAAGGGTGGCAAACTCTCTAGTTTCATCCTCTGATGAATCCGGTTTCGCGCACTTTCCAATAACCGATTTCAATAAAACTTAGCAAATATATGTACTTCCACGAACTTTTGAGGTCGGTTTTTTTAAAAAAACATTTATAATTTATTTTACCAAGTGAAATGAAATGATGTACAAGTCGTGTGCCTGATGTTAAGTGACACGCCTGTCCACAGCAGTTGCAGTGCCACTCAGAGCTTTAAATCGTAAAGATCTGAGGGACACTGCCACTGCGCCATGCACCCTAAGACACAAATTGACAAGTCCCATGTGCCTGTGTGACAACGACTGACGAGAAAACTCATAAAAAGTAAAGTAAATATCATAAGTAGATACAAAAGATTACGTACCATATTATTCGTAATTCTGGAAGCGCGGTACTTCATGCCTCTGCACTGGGTCAGCGAGAGGATTGGCACGCGCACCTCCTGCACTATCGCTGGTAACTGACCGCCTTCAGATGTTCTGCCCCACCCCACCACAATACCCTCTTTACCGGCAGGATCGGCGCCTGAAATTTATAGCAGATTTACTACTAAGATTTAGGTTACTTTGCAGAGTATGAGAAAGAGGTGCTAACATTTTCGGCTTGCGAAAGTACATAAGAAACATTCAAATCTTGCCAGATATACCAGTCCCTAATATACCAGTGACGAAGAGTTCATATAAGCCGATTCCCGTTGGCTTGCATTAAGATATTGGTTAATCGAGGCTTAATATGATACTAAACGATTATTTCGTTTAGGAATCTAATCACCCATACAAAACGCCTGACTGTTTTGTGCGACGACGTAAACTGCCCATCATCGAGTTTCTTTGCTATAGTAAAATATTGCCTACAGAGTAACTGCCTCTTTAATTTTACAGAAACCAACTAGAAATAGTATCGTTTCAATTAAGTCCATTTATATGGCAAGTGAACTCGAATAAAATCGAGTCAGACTGATTACCACTGCACAGGTACAAGCGAGAAAGGTAGACGTCTCCACTCTATGGGAAAGATGCCGCTTGTGTGTTGTCTTATAATTTATACATTAATACATATACTTCATTCCCATTTCCCATCGAGGTAGACAGAGATAACAGCTTTCTTTCCATCTTTCGACTCATTAATAAACATCTGTGATTTCATACATGCTTTTCGGTTACGCGTACTTTTAACCTGAACGTTAATTATTTTTTTGAAATTAAATTTAGCGAATGTTAATGCGTGTTTTTGTTTTTGGAATAATTGTTTTAATGATTGTCTGTGATATTTTGGGTATTCGTTAATTATTTTAATAATGTTAATTCTTGCATAACCGTTCTTGCGGAACCAAATTTATGTTGAAATATTCTCCGATATGACTTCTATTTTGAGAATTTTTCTCTTTCATCGAATTCGCCACTAACGTATGCCATAGTTCACGAAACAATAAATACACTCAATGAATAATGCATTACATATGATTGTAAGGTAATCAATATATCAATATCATTTCTTTCTATTGATGCTCAATATTACTGTGTTCATTATGTTAAATACACATAAAGCTAAAATATATAATACTTTCACGTACTAATGACGCTTATTTTTTATATACACGACCCAAACTTAAAGTCATACCATCAAATCCGCTGGGTTAGCTAATGAATATGTGGCAAAACCAAAAAATACCAAGTACAGTGCCTTGGAACCGATGTACAATTTTGTGCCACAGTGGAGACTGTGGGGATTTGGGGTACGGAGGCCAAATAATTCATCAGGGAATTGGGACGTCTCGCCGAGATCTCACACTCTGGATCTTACCTAGTGCAACAAATTTCGTTCAGTACAGCTGCTGCTGCATCGTCATTTGATTCATTTACGATTCCGAGCGGTAATTTTCAATTCTTTTAACGAAATAAAAAGGGATCTGTGGTATTGATTCTTACTGATTTCTATGTGACAAAACCTACCGCACGGATTGATTTCGCATTAGTAGTAGTATATTGTGCATGGTACAAATAAATCAATTCACAGTCCCAGGTCTGTTTCTAATTTCGTGTCCTCAATCCTTCGGGTTATGGGCCTCGCACGCTTCCACGGGTTAAGGGAGAAAAACTAACTTTTCATGCTGTATCGGGTTTGGGTGTTTGTGGTATCGTCGTTGTTTCCGATTTTCATAATATGTGCTTCTTATTTTGATCAAAGCAACGTTGTCTAATATTTAAAACATATTTATTTATTATAACAATAGACTTCATGATATTCTGATGCAAAAAGTAACTTACTGGCAGATGGCAAACAGACAGGTTTGACGATCTTAGAAAACGTAATTGGTTTGCGTAGTCTTAAGAGAGCTATATCGTTGTTATATGAGTCGGCGTCGAAGTTGCGATGTCGCACTATGGAAGTGACAGCTCGCATAATCGCTGCGCTCTCGGACGTAATCGTTTGGTCGTGATCACCAAGGATGACTCGAATTTTCGTGCGTTTTAATCTGTAATCAAGAAGGGATTAGATAAAGTTGAGATTCCTTGTGTGTATGGCTCTCCAGCAGATTTATATAAACCTTTACAAGTGCTCGTTGAGTCGTTGCAAATAGGAATAGGCACAGATTACTTAATATTTACAACGTAACGGATGCATATATGCATATATGAGAGTGTCATACAAAATCGAAAAGATCAGATAATAGCCTAATAAATCTAACTAATGAAACCAGGCGCTCACTACGAGGAAAAAGGAACATAAACACGCGCTCAGAGAGGTAAAAATAACGTTGCCCGCCATGTACAGTCGTGCGGAACCGAATGCTGAGGTTGTACAAGGATTGTAATGTAAATTAAAGACTTGTCTGAGCGCTTGCGCTGTTTGCGATACACTCAGAGGGCGGTAGGCAGTTATCGCGTTTGAGCGAGTGGCGGAACCCTGGATATTAGTCCATAAACAATAAACTATATTTAAGGCACCGCTCTAAAAATAAAAATTTCTTGACAGTTCGTGTCTATAGTTCATTTGAAAGCATGTAATCTTTTAGAGAATTCCATAATAACTTTATTTTATTTTTGGATCAAAGCATACCGGATGTCATACAACGATTTCATTGCAAACGGTACCGTTCGTACATCCATCCACGACTGAAAACGACGTTGTCCAAAACCGCACTGCACACAAAATTTTAAAATAACTAACATAGGTACATACATTTACCAAGCATGTAATCTGCAAGGAACAGTAAATTTGCCTATTTTATAAAATTCTTTTAAATATAAATATTGTAAAGCCGTTAAAAACCAAAATCAAAGATCTGCACCAAGCACATAGCAAGTTCGTTTCGTGGCTTAGTTGGCATAGCGTCTGGCGCGGTTTGCTGGAAGACGTTGTTTCGAATCCAGCCGAATCAAAGTAATTTTTTCTTAGTGTTCGATCTTTGTTTATTACAAAGTAGTGGAGTAATTTCATAAAAATAATTGAATATCATGGTGGTTAAACATCGTGACATTCAACAAAACACTTAATTACAGTGAATAGCAACATCTCTAGCCAGGGCTGGTAGCTGTAAAGGTGCCTAACTCTGTGACGAAATACTTTCATAGATTTCTTATAGATGGCGCTACTTCTAAAAAGTCCGCTAGTTCATTCCGTGGCTTAGTTGGCATATGGCGTTTGTTAGACGTCGGTTTAAATCCAGCCGGATCGAAGCATTTTTTTTTCTACAGTGTTCGTCTTTGTGTTAATAATTATAATATATAAATTGTTAATACTATAAATAATACTTACTTCCTGACACAATGAGCAGCAGTCAACACATACTCCTTAGTCAAGACGGAAGCGCCGCAATGGAACTGTCCATCATATACTATCCTGGCCATCCACGGGTATCGGTTAGCCCCCGCCGGCATGCCTCCCACAATGCGGTTCTCCTGGTTAGCCCCTCCGCACTCTGCGAGAAAGTCAAGTTTATTCACCCACGGAAAACCTTCGTCTCGTTACGTTGTCTACGTAAACAACTTAGGGACAGTCCGGGTAATTCTTGGAAACTAGTAAATCATTTTCTTGACGGAAGTCGTTAGTTGTTTTCCTGAATATCGTATTAAAATTTAACGACATGTTTAAACGTTTTACATAGTTAATCAACCAGCAGTTAGCAAGCCTATTTCGGAATATTATTATAAGTAATTCTGTAGCTTAGCAATTTTGAAACTAAGTAATTTAAAGGTGATGAAAACAACATGACATACCTACCTGTGTGAATACTTTTTAAATTTCAAAATAGGACGTTGTAATTGTTACGAATAATTTAGCAGACTGAACATATAACTAATTAAAATCTTATTTTTGAAAATGCCAATGTTTTTACGAGATAATTTTTTTGAAAATACACCCTCAGAATTACGCGTTTACATTGCTGCAAGTTATGTCTAGAAATACTGATGACAGGAAAGTTAACTTTTATTTAATAGTATTACAGTCAATAATATTTTATAGGAATAGTATTTGCTATGTTACTTTCACAATTTATTTTTTGTCATTAGTTCGTTTTAGCGCAGTTACTTAAATGAAATCGAATCTTCAACATTCGTTCACAGAAATAACATTGCTAACTTTGGATTTTACTAGAATTACCTCTGTTGTTTATAAACAGTTACCGAATACAGTTATTTACAGTAGACAACAAAGGATAAAATGCAAAATACGGAACACAAATTACACAGGTTTTAAGTATTGTTAGTTCAACATTATTTGTGTGGATTGTACACAAATATTACAATCTACGTAAATATGATGTACATCTAATTCAATGAAAAAACTCCATAATACATATTTACATAACAGCAGTTGAAGGAGGGGAATAGCAATAAACATTTTTTAAAAAGAATCTGATTCCCTTTTGAAACCAAATTCTGTCGTAACTCAGATTTGTGGAATTAGAAAAATACGATTTAAAAATTAAAAATAAAACTGAATACTTAATGTATTTTATTGGGATTAATGTGATTATTTTTATTTATACATAATATTTAACTGTCCATTTATAAACGAAAACATATATTTATTGATTTCATTCAGTTGATAATTTTTTGAACTTTCAAATCGTCTTTTCTCAATTCCACAATTTTGTGTTACGACAGTATTTGAATTCATGTACATATGTTTCACTACACAGTCAACATTTTGTGAAAATTCTGATGGTATCTAGAACGTTAACCCAGCATTTAATGTCAACAATATCCGTATACAAACGGTTAACAAAAGTACGTAGATAAATAGCATGAGATAGTTAACAGGGTAGTCGGTGGAAGCCACGGAATCTCCACTTTCACCGCTTCCATGGTTCATTGCACAGCCAACAATGCCGCGGAATCTTTTTTACGCAAATTACTAATCATACCTGTTCAGCATCCAGGGCTATTAGTTTCATTGCATTCGTTATTTCTTGTTAACCATTTAAATGCTTTGTTGTATTTGCTGCGATCAATGTGAAAAGTTGATTGCCATCTTCGTTGAGAAAAAAGATAAGTGAAAATTTTGAAACAGACTTCATTGCATATAAAAAGTAAAACATATACCGATAAATATACGGAGTTATTTGTAAATTATTAACAATCTCACAGGACTATATTACTAACATCATAAACAACTTTTGTTCCATAACTTTTTAATTAATCCGATTTTACTTTTGTACAAAATAGAAATATTTCAATAGATCTTTTAAACCGTTATAACTCTGCGCCACAACAAAAGGAAGCGTTTAGAGTCTAGACTACTTCAGCTCAGCATACATACACACCTACTTATGCCTATTACTTTTTATGTTTTACTTCATAACTATCACTAAAAATGTATAACCACGATCGCTCAGACTCATTTTTGTACTTTTAAATTTTAAATAGAGGCGCATATTTTCGATCCAACCTAACTGAACACTCCTAAGACACAGACATTTGTCGAGTCAGAGTCCTTAGTTTTGTTACGCCTTTTCTACCTGTTTGTTTTATTTTATTTTTTCTACGTTTCTAATCAGTAAATTTATTCTCTGTACTATATATAAGGCTAAGGTGTGTTTTTGAACAAAGATATTATTATAACTCAAATTAAAATTTTTCCCGTACTAACACGGTTCATTTTGCCTCGGTCAGACTTTATTTCGGAATGTATTTTTTACAAATGAAATTAAAGTCATTTGAAAAATGAAGATACGTCGTATGATATACGTCTTCTATTTAGTTCAGTTAATATAAAAATAAATCATTGGTGTATGTAAAGTACCTATTAAATACAGCGGTTTTCTCGTAAAATTTCGAAGTCAGTTTGTGTCTTTTTTCTATAGTGAAATTTTTAGGAATCGTGTTTTCACACCATATAGTAATCAGTGTATAACCTCAATTTCACTTTATATTTTTTCCAAAATGATTGATTCAACACTATCGCTGTTATGCGGAATCACCCAAGGCCATTTGAGGTTGTTAAGGAAAACATCAGTCCGATGCATTGACGATGCAACTTATTATAAAGATCTAAAGTGTCAGATAGTACAGATAAAAACTTAAAAGTTTATTTTTGGTAAATTTATTGTTTCGTAAAAAGTCATGGAACCAAAGTTGTTTTTTGTGATGTTAATAATATAGTCCTGCGAGATTGTTAGTTTTAAAATTAACCCTGTATTAAGGACCGTAAAAATTGACTCAATAAAGAAGATGCCTATACCCAGCAGTGGGTTGATGTGTGCTGAATATGATGATAGTGGTGAAAACGTATACTATCAGATTTTAGTTTGTAACCATGGTTCAAAAACTAAGTATCTACAAAAAGTGTTACATCTAGGCAGGGGACGAAAGTACGTTTTATAGACGCCGTGCAATTAAGTAACAAATAGGTACCTATTACAAAACATCACGTCAGTAACTTAAGGAGAAAATCGCATAAGATGCAAATAACAAGACAAATATTCATGCTTAACTATGTACGTCCATGTATCATGCAATTAAAAAGATCTAACTACATACAGCTAATAGTTACACAACTACAGTATCTACATTTATATAATATTAGAAATACAAAAATTAGGTACATTATTAGGTAACCATAGGTACCATTCGGTGTTGTATATATAGTGCTGTACACAATGTGTAACTTACCAATCTTTCTTGGCAGTGGGTTTGCTCTGCCGCACTCTAAAAATTTAACGTGAATGAACATTATTAACAATTGCTGTCTAAATACTATTTTCATGCTTTTTCCTATACCTGAATCATTGTATGAACAAAATTGTGCTTCACATTATAAGGATTCCACCAAAAACTACGTACTTCACCGCTTAATATTATTTTATTACACAATATTACAATAGGGTATTTGACTCGACGTTTTGTTTATAAATTTACCAACATTTGATTACATTGTTCCAATCTTAATAACGTAGCTAGGAACACCTTAAAACTAAATGTATCAAACAATTTCAAGTAAATACCACTTGCAATTAGTAAAAAAATTGTAAAATTGACAACATGGTTTAACATCAAGTAAAAGAGACATTTTGAATTTAAAAATTATTTATTGCTTTTATCAATTCGCTTAACCATGCTGATAAATCCGAAAATTACTGAAATTCGTTTTTCGATATCTCAACGAACACCAGAGATATTATGGTTAAAAGCAACGGTGGGATGGTCTATTCCATTTTAGCAAAACGATCATTCATACGTAGCCACTACGTCGCCATTTCGGTAGTGACATCACCAATGAGTTCCCCTTTCTTTCTAACGCCTGATTTTTAATGCCTGTAGTATTTTACTTTTCAACGCGCCTAAATTACATTTTTATATTTCTTCATTGATGTGCCTACGTGCTAATGGAAGCATTCGATTTCTGTCAAATACCCTATTACATATGTTTGAATATTTGATACAAATGAAAACAACGCTACTTTTTTAATAAAACCCAACTGGTACAATTTTATAAGCGTGTCGTCAATCTTTGCTAATTTCAACACTAACGAACCGTTAATTGCTTGAATACGATTCCAGGTCCTAAAATATACCAATTCTCCTTCCTTCTTCAGAACTACATAATAATGTACCAGTCAACCACAGCAATTGCCTGGTCTCAAACTAGAAAATTCCCTGTACTATGAGTACCAGAGCAATGGAACTCATTCTGGGACACTTTCTAGAACACCCAGACCAGAACCCATTTAGAACAGTTCATCTCCCAAACTGGACCTACCGGGAATCGAACCCGAGGCCTCCGCATCCAGCGCCCAAAGTGCAGACCGTTAAGCCACCGAGGTCGTCAAAAATATAGATTGATTGTATAATAAAGCTATCTGTAATCTTTTCTTATTGTAATCAAAGGCACTTTGGTGTCCATGGTGTCCCTATATTCGAATCTTGGTGACAGAAACCAAAAAAAATCTAGATATTTCAACGACAGCCCTAATAATAAAATAATATTACGATATTGTGTTCTACGGACGGTGGTCGAACACGGAATATACCGTTACACGCTACGAATTATTTTTATTACAAACTAAATATTCAAAAACATTACCCCAAATTGAGTCACTAGTGCAATAGTGTACTTACCACACGAGCACCGTCTGACTGTGGAGTCATCATCATCCTCTTCGACACTCTGCTCTTCCAGGATAGGCACCTCCAGTCCGAATATTGCATCAAACAGGAACCGCTGGGATCTGTTACCTGATGACACCTGGAAATTAACGGGCCAATCATTAAGTAAAAACTCGTACATATTTCTTCTTAGAGACTTTTTAAAATTCTAACGTCTTTATTCCCTAAGTAAGTAAGTAACATTCGATATTGATTGCTTAAATTCCACTAGTCGTCAGACAGGCTGATTCTCTTGAGAAGAATGAGTAAGAAAGGGTTGCTTATTGTCAATAAACATTTGTACACTCTAGTAGCAATAAAGGTCCTTGTGAAAGAGTTCGTCCAGGGAAGTACTGCTATCTAATCTAATTCAAAATAATTTCTGCCGCCTAGCAATAATGCGAGTATTACTGCGTTCCAGTTTCGAAGGGTTAGAGTGCTGGTGAAATTTACAGGAACATGAGACTTGTCAACTTATGTCTCAAGGTGATAGGCGCAGCGGCAGTGTCCCTCGGATCTTTGCGATTTAGAGCTCTGAGTAGCACTGTAACTGCTTTGAACAGGTGTGTCGCTAAACTTGTTGGACCTGTAGTTTAGTTTCATAAAACAAAATATTTTTGCAATATTTCTTTCAGAATATATTTCTCAAGATATATTTTATTTATATATAGGTACTATTTATATTAAGTGGCAATGTTTGCGTTTCTAAATAATAGAAAAATATAGTAGAAATTCTGTTGATGCTCAAATTTTGCCATTTAAGAAGTTTAAGAAGAATTTATTATACGGCTTTTGCGTATTTGGATGGTAACGGCCAACGGCCTTAAGAGTGATCGTCATAATCGATATCTTTTAGATCGTTTGTACCCGTGAATAAATATCTATTTACAAAGAGCAACTTTCTTGCTCGTTCGTTTCAGGTGAATCTGTCTAAGGATTGAGTAGTACTGTTTAATCAGTTCGATGATTTCAAGTGTAATTTACTTACAAGAAATAAAGAAATTTTGAATTTGTAGGACATCCTTGACGGTTACAAGAACATTTTTTATTTTTAAAACATTTTGTGCCGCGATCACCAGGAACCACCTACGCTATAAGAATACAAGAATGTAAAAATAAAACAAGAAATTATAATATATGGCTGCATGCAGCGAAAAATAGCTAGTAAATAAACAAAAAAAAACCAGTCAGCTGTATGTGATGTAACGTTGCGCCATTTTAGGAATGTCGCTCGTCAACTTTTAAAACTTAAAATAAGTATTATGCAATTCTCCGAGTAAAGTAGGATGCTTCAAAAGCACAAAAGTCCAACAATACTTTCAACGTACCTTAGAACTTACTTATACTCTTTATAAAACCGGGGAGAAATATAATCCGTAGTCATAAAATAGCTGTACACAATATGATATTAAGTACGTTTCCTACTAATGAGGAATACTGTTTATTATCATTTCTGCATGATATGGATTGACGCTATTGTTAATAATAGACTTATAGCACTATATTGACTAAGTCGGTTAACCTAAAACTCAATGTGATAATATTCTTCAATTGAAACAAAAACACCTGAATTAATTTTTAAAGTAACCCCTAAGAGTGGTTACACACGCCGTCATTTAGCAGCGATGCAGACGCGCGTTCGTGAAACACGTGATATGGAATCACGCTACAAACGCGCAATTGCATCGATACAAACGCGCGATTGCATCGATACAAACGCGCGATTGCATCGGTGCAATCGCCTATAAATCCCAAGTGTATCGATGCAGTCGCACGCTGGCATCGCGTTAGCATCGCTGCTTAAAATCGCGCGCGGGTGTAAAATTGAAGCATCAATTTGTTAGATTTGCTATATATTTTTTATAACATCAAGTGACGGAACGACCAAGTCGTGCGCGTGATGGTAAGCTATATAGAGTTGAACAGTCTTTTTTTCTCAGTTATAGAACTAAAAGTCATATCATTCCAATTACAGGGGTGCACAAAAGGAGCCTCCTTACACGATGCACCATTCTTTTCCTGTACGTCAGGCGGACCCTGGGCAACAATGGAAGAGAACTTTACGCTAATTGTTAAATCCTTTCACCATGATGGCAAGCATTGTAATGTATGCCATCGATACGATAAGAAAAAGATTCTTTGTAGATTACACGCATGTAAAAACACAAGCATCAATTACTGTTCGTAACAAGCAGGTAAATTTCATATGCCTATCGTTGCAAACAAGCATTCTACTAGATATTATAAATCAACGTATGATAACAATGTATGATCATAACAGGTAACTCAGCATTGTCGGAAATGCATTTGCTTCACCCTTACGTAAGTTTTGTTTACCGTTCGTAGACAAGATCACTTTCGCGGCGCAGGCGCACCAATGATTACGATTGCGCAATGGAACTGATTGGCCTGTAATGTCAATGTTGCTTTCACAATCTCAGCAGTGCCGCATTACTGTATTATTTTTGTTGCTACCGTTACAATTTGATTGTATACTTTCTCGATTCACCCAAATTAAAAGTTAGATAGTAGATGAGGTAAGACTTTTAAAGCGCTTCATTAAAACGAGAGAAAGCATGAAAATAATACTGAGTTTTCCCTTGTGCCTACATAATCTAGGAAAATTAATTATTCGTTCGTTCTATTGCTCTTTTAATTCCTGACCTACGATACGGTTCATTTGGCCAAACAAGAGGATTTATTCAAAATTTACACTAGACTCATATAATACACTCGCGATACAGGGTTTCCCTAGTGCGGGGTTATGAGAAAAAAAACCATAATGATTTCAAGTTAAAATTTTATAGTACTCATGGTTTTAGTTAATTAGTATATGTTGCACTAAAACATCCACGTACACGTGCAAATTAAAATACCAATTGCAGTTTATAGAGCACGATTTGCGGCGGATTAACAATTACAATTTTAGTACCCAGTTTAATTTCATTACAAACGTGAACTGATTTAATCACGAGATGTGTGAGCGTCGTACTTATTCTGCTGTATTGAACGGTAAATACTCACTCGTTGTCACTGCACTTATTCAGCATAATACATAATATTGTACCGTATAAGGTTGTGTAGGTAGAGTGTGCCATGCTGCGACAATGCCATGACCCATATAGCACAATATTTAACATGCGATTGTACTTTCCCTCGTGACGTAACAAAATGACGAAACACGCGGTGAGCAGTACCGTTGCAGAGTTAGCTAACGTATTATATCATTGTAACTAATGGGGCTAAGGTTGGAAAAACACGTGGACGAAACCAAATTTGTACCATCTGACACATAGTTTCCCAAAGAGGTTCCTACTGCTCCCTGGTGGGCGCTGTAGAGTCTTAGGAGGGCGGTAGGAACCTCGGAAGCAATTGGGGGCATTGATGCTGTCCACGGGGTTCTGCCGTATTTGCAAATAAATCCTGAAGTATCTATATACAGTACATAACTGTATTTTTTTTCCTTGTGATTTTTTGTATATAAAAAATACGTGTTTTCATTTATGTTTTGTGGCGGTGGGCAACCAAAATGTTTGGGAAACCATAATCTAACAGTTATGCTATATTGACCCAAACGAGTAAAACTTAAAAAGTGTTACGCCATTTCTTTGAAGAGAAGAAGGCACTTAAAGCTTCGTTTTAGATACTCTAAAACTTGAGTAACAATCCAGAACAAATTCCTTTTACCAAGCATTATGACGAACAAGTCGTGCTTCTGGGGGTTAGCGAAGTGTCTGGTCATAACAGTAAACTGCATTCCGAGCTTTAACCTTTTATAAAATAAAGGTTAAGTAATTATTTACCACATTTTTAATCTTCAATAATCGATTAACCGTTACTGCATTTTCAAATTCTTTACGTATAGTGGTAAAAATCGATACCTCTCACGTAACTTGTTGCAAGTTAAAATACCATTTCTTGCTTTTTAACTTAAACATATCCTTTTTTACGTATATTATAGGTTCCATGTTTGAAAGTAAATATAACACTATAGTCGTCACCAAATAAGAGGCCAGATTTGACACTTTTCATCGTGACGCGAATAGGGATGTGGACTAATCATATCGGTAATCACATTATGCGATTTTCACGAGAAATCGATTCAAAATTATATGAGATTGTAATTGTTTACATTATTTTTCGGTTCATTGTTGTTTTGGCGGCCTAAAAGACCAAATCGTGCAATTCTGGTAAAAGCAATTCATTTACAGAATTCCTTTCAATTCTGTAGCAATTTCTCTCATTTTCGTAAAATTGTTCCACATTCCGATGAATTGTATCCAATTCTTTTAATTTTGATTTTATAATATTCGTATATGTAATGGTTTATTGCGAGAATTTAGTGTAAATAAGTATGTTCATCGATAAACTACATAAAAAGGTTAAATTACCAAGAAACCAAGGATTTCATGAATTTTCAATTATTCGGCTGGCAACTAGTTAAAAGTTGATGTCAACAACAAACAATCTCAAACAATGTTCATAATTTAGAAAACAGGAACAGTCCTAAAGCAAAGCCGAGTCACACGAAAAATATATAAAAAATAATAGCGCATAGTCAACTTCCAAGATGGCGAAAGACTGCGCGGTGCGCGGGCGCGGACTCCGGGTGCCGCTGAATTGGTATCAGTGTTGACAATTCAATATTTGCAAAATATAAAAGGAAATACAAATCTGGCTAGCAGTACGGGGCTCTTATAAATTTGATAAATTATAAATTTATTTTCAATAGGTGTGGTGCAGAGATGTTATATACATAATTATTTAAAATACACCTGTTTTTATACGTTTTTGTTTTAATATTTAAATAAGCAATATTTTTTCCGAGAAACCGTAGTGACTCGGTAAAATTCGGCCATTAATTGCTTACAACACCATTATTTTAAAAAAAAATAGCTTTAGGACGTAACTGTTTTCAGGCCGTTTCGGAGTAACTCAAAATTGCATTTTATATTGTAATCACGCGAAAACAGTACTTCAAATATGTTTTGTCATGTTATATAATATTTCCATGAAATGTACGTTTTTTTTTAAACTCAATTATGCTAATAATTGTGTGTTTATTGTTTCGTTGATCGCTTTCAAAGTTACATACTATCGCCTTCTTTAGCTGTCAAATGTGGCCTCTTATTTGGTGACGACTTTAAGTGATTTCTTTACTTTTGATTATAGTACGTTTATCATACATAAAAAAGGAAATGTATTTAAGTTAAAGAGCAAAGAATGGTATTTTGACTTACAATAACTTACGTGAGAGGTATCGAAATATTTACCACATAAAAAAAACTTGTTTCTTAAAACAAAAGTTGGCTATGGGAATGGCATCTACGACCCTCAATTACCAAGGAAATACTGCAATATATCGGACTTTAAGGCTCGCTGTTGTTTATGGTTTAAATCACACAACTCTGAAGGGCACTGCCACTGCACCCGTCACCCTGAGGCATAAATAAGTTGACTAGTCCCATGTGCCTGTAATTTCACCAACATCCTTGCCCTTCAAAACCGGAACGCAGTAATGCTCACAAACTGCTTGGCGACAGAAATAGGTAAGGTAACAGTACTTCCCAGGACGAACTCTTGAAGCTACGTAAAAATTATAAAAGATAGTTGCTTAATGTCTTTAGGGCACTGTTGAGGCTACAGACATGTTCGTGGTCACGAACGTAGACGATTTTTATGCCATGCTACGCAAAAAGACTGCATCAATAATACGTCGTATACGGGGGAGCACCAACGGTATCCTTAAAATGATTCCCGACCGCACTGACAAGGTAATTTTCAGTCGATACGAACTACACATTCGAAAAAGTGTATCTCGATAGATCAAATTTTTGCATTTTATCTTTTCTATTTCTTACTAACATAGGTATTAAGTTGTGAAACTAACAAGCTTATGGACTTATTTTCTCTGAAAATAAATATTTTGTATTTTTATTTAGTTTTGATTTTTATTGAAATTTTCTTTCACTAAATATTACACGTTCCAAAATTCACACATAAATATAATAAATTGTTTGAAAGCGTCGTTTTTTCACACTAAAACTAGGTTGCGATAATTTATGTTTTCAACTGAACGGATTTCAGTGACATTTAACCTAATTAAAGCAAGGTTATTCGAATAAAAAAAGTATTAATTTCTAGAAGACCATCAACTCATCGTGATTCAAAACTGTTCATGACCCCGTTTCAAGTTTTCGCAAGTGACCATGGGTCATGGAATGAGTCGCTTCGTCTGAAGTTCATTGCCGTCAGGGCGCACTATGTGACAATTGCTGTTAAACATTTACCTACAAGTTATTAATAAATTCGTGTTAAGCTACAATAATGTATATTTGTTTAATTTAGTATCATTGTTGTAATAAACGACAACCTACGTAGTTGTGTGGCTTGCACCGATTTTCATGGTATCGCCAAATAGCAACAGAGATCTGGGGTCCCAGGATCGATTCCTGGCCCGATCAATGTAGAAACTAACTTTTCTATATTGTCTCGGGTCTGGATGTTTGTTGTATAGTCATTGTTTCCCATTACCATAACACAAGTGGTTTACTTTGTGATCAGAGCAACTTATGTGATGTTATCTAATAAATGATATCCAAAGTGGACATCAAAATTATATTGTTACTTACATATAACAAGTACCGAAATATTTTCTGTAACAATTACTTAAATACGCCTTGTTTGTATTATATTAATGGTAATATGTTTCAAAGTCTGCAAAGCAAATAGGTAGGTACACATTGGAGGTTTTATCTCGGACCTTTAAAATTAAGACTTAATTGATCGATACGCTATACATATAAATCCTTTCGAATGATTACAATTTATAGTGTGAATTGGCTTTTATTGCTTGTCAGTGGCTTTTGTAAGGTCAATAAGTAATCTACTTTCCAAAGTATAATTACAGGCCTTTCACGACGTATTTAATCATTACGTATGACGCACGTAGTAAATGTATGAAAGTCAAATGATGGTGCCACGCAACTATAAATGATTATGTGGATATTTTGTGATTACATAAGAGATGGAATCGCAAAAAAACGGACTAGGGCTAATTACACACGGCAACGTAACAACAGCGGCACCGCATTCATAGACGCCCTTGCATTTGTATACACACTTTCATACACTCATCACTGTTAACAGAACTGTACAACAGAACTAGTGGGAATAATCGGACAGAACCGACAGAACTACTAGGAATCGTAAATCCCACCTGTTAACAGACCGAATGGGAAGAAAAATGCCAGCAGTTCTGTTAACGAAACTGTAAAACAGAACTAGTGGGACGTTACTTGATACAGTGGCGGTGGTGGCGGCGGCGAGAGTTGCAGCAATTCTCTACAAATTTAGTATATGACAAAATATGGGCTACATATGCACCAGTCTGGTGTTACGGTATGACACCGTAAGCGCCCTGGTACACGAAGCGAAAGTTTTCGCGCGGCCGCCGCGCGGCGACCGCCCAGTTACCAAGCCTTCATGCACATTAATGGCATCTGAATGAAATTCGTGTCGACTAAATGCGCCCTAACTATTGCGGCGCCGCATTAGCAAATAACGGCCGCGGCACCATGTGTAACCCTAAACCATATTTTTAAATACGCTAATAATAAACAAAATTCTACAGTGGAGTGGAACTGCCTTTACCATAGTTACACTTACATGTACCTAAAACAACGGAGTGTCGATGTAATTAGTTACCTACTAAAACCTAACAATTTAACTGCTTGTACGGCAAGACAATAAATATTGCATTTTATTTACATATTTACATTTACTGCTAAAATCAATCAATTAACGCAAAGCAACATAGTACTAAGTGACTTTACAACAACCAGCTAAGGATTATTATTTTAGAGCCTGATGATAAATGGCAGCCGTGGTAGCCTAATGGTATGACCTACCACCTCTCAGACGCCCTGAGTTCGAATTCCGGCTCGCACCTATGAGTTTTTCGGAATTTATGTGTGAAATTTAATTTGAAAAACCATGAGCTTCTCTGTGAAGGAGAACATCATGATGAAACTTGCACGTCGAAGAAAGTTTACAACCCTTGGGAAAACGTATTCGGCCTATTAGGACTATGACCCTCGATCGAGAGGAGACCGTGCCCAGCAGTGGGATATATATAAATAGATTTGATGATGATGATGATAAATGGCAGATCCTAATTTCTTGCATACTTTCGTGGTGCAACTAAGTATGTCCAAAATCAAACTACAATTATATACCTTGTAAGAAATTATGTGTTACAAATTATATAAGCCTTGTGATCACGTGGCGTGATGAGTTGGAGTAATAAAGTGGCTATAGCCTGGAACAAATGTATCGGAACCGGATATTCGTTGTGTAAACATGAAACACTCGTTTGCCTACTTTTAAGTTCCCAATTTATGAATATGCAATGATACATAATAACATTTATACTATTCACAGTAATAAAAAGCCTCAATTCGTATATTTTTGCAATGTTAAAAACTGTACGAAAAAATTACTTCAATGTACTTAAAGTTATAAATGAATACTGATTTCCGTCCATTTAAAAAGTTATATAATAATTATTCACCGACTGGCGAAAGTAATGTTACATTTCCGCGGTTTTAACTCACTTGTTACGTATAAAGTTCATCCAATACCAAAAATTTATTAAATAATGATTTAAACTTAGGTACATAATTATTATTATTTGTACGGACGGATTTTCAACGCTTCTAAACTACCACTTAAGAGACCTAGGGGCCGAAGTCCCAAAGGGTGGTCGGATCAGATCTCCGAGAACTGGAGTTACCTCTCAGCGCCGCACTATATTATGCGACTGAGCGCAACCGATGGAAGCAAATGGTTGGCAGGATGAAGTGGAGTCACGATCCTCAGCAGTGAGGAAGCGATTAAGAAGAGACGCTACCACTACGAGCAGTAACTTGAAATACGATCTATAATTGTCGACACTAATAAAGTTCCGAGGCAAACGCACCTTTAAGAAAATTCTGCTAGTCTTAAGACTAGCAGAATTTTCTTAAAGATATGGCCTACAAGCGCATTTACTTTGATATAAAATGAAAGTACCCAAAGTTCCTACTTTATTTGCAGAACCTAGTTATTTTCTAATGAGCTTATTTCACGTCTGAATTAATGCACTACCCTAAATTTATCTACGCATCTTGAATCTTGTAACACAAGCCTTGAACCACGCATCATCATGCCATATTTTACGAGTCCCGTCTTTACGTCGACACTCTTGAGGAAGCAATTGCGTGAGGGGTCATCACGGTCTCAGGTTGTCTCTTTATAGCGTGATCTATCTAGTCCTTTGCCTTCTTGGCTTGGCGTGGCTTTTCCTACGGAAGATTCTTAACGAAAATGTATAATGCCTAATATAGAATTAACTGACACACATTAGTTAAATACTAAAGATGAAAAAATCACAGTTATGACAGGATGCACCTCTAATTTTAAAACATTTTCAGTCATTAGACTTGGAGAACACCTGAAGAAGTCTGTGGGTGCTCATAGGTATAAATTATTTTCAACTGTATGTTAAAACTTTGTTTTACGACATAGAATGCAACATTAACCAGTACAAATGACATCAATATTTTACACTGAATAATTCAATTAATCTATATATGTATGTACTGAGCAACAAAACATGTTAATTATGAATGTAATCCATCATTAAAGATTTGCAATGATACCTGTTTAACAGATTTGATTACTTTTACTGATTAATACGCGACTACGATTACAATATTCCAATTCCTGTCATTAACTATTGATAACTACACACAAGAAGTGGTTCGCGTAGCGGAAAGTAAAAGTGCTCGTCCGAAGTCAATGCACCGTCTCTGCAGCGCGAACGTGCTCTCTGACTGATATGACTGGTCACAGCTGATATAGAGCACTGCCGTTTGTGTTCTCAAATTAATTACTACGGACTACTCACATGATTATCAAGCGCAGCGACATCCGATGAACTTAATTCCCTTGCAAAAACTAAATTCAAACCGAGGACCACGTAAATAATTATCACAAAATTCCATTGGTGCATTGTCGTGGGGTCGAGAGACGTTGACAGTAAAGGGAGTTAACTACTATTTATTTGCGCGGCATCTCCGCACGCGGCGCGTTCACTGACGAATTCGGCGAGGGAGCTTCAATGGCATTATTTCGCAAACGATCGCCGGCCGAGTGTCGGCCGCGGCCGCACGGAGCCCCCGAGTGCGCCGTCGCGAGGTCTTCGGCCACCACCTCGCACACTTTCTCTTCAAGCCAAAACCTTAATGCTGAGCTCCAGTGGCGCCCCACCGCTGCGCTAACGCACGACTAGTGGTGCGCCCGCGCGGTGTGCTGCTGCACTCAGTCACTCAATACAGCACTCAATAACATGCGACAAACTAGTGCAGACGACTACTTACACTTAAAATGGACGAAGTACCTACGTGGCGCTAGACTTTCGAAAGAATAAGTTTGGAAGGTAGACTACCATAATATAGTTGCAACTATAGACCTCAACTGAAGTTATAAATAGTTATAGGTTATAATAGTGTTAGTTATAGGATAGTTATGCAATACCAAGTATCACATTCTTAAAGTATACAATGTAATGGAAACTCGATCAATCTAATGCTTTCAAACTATCTCTGGTCACAATTATAGGAAACACATATAACAACACCGGTGTGGGAACTAAACAAGTAAGCTGCGGATGTTGGATTCCACACTGATAAATGAAAGTGAAATCAGCCGTCTCCGCATTTCCGCAACACGCTCGGTGAACCTCCACAGCCACGTAATCGTGACGCCAAATCACATTATCGCGAACCAATAAAAAAGAATAGTGAACATTCTGCAGAACCTTGATCTTACTTTCTTTATAATGTCAAAAAACTAAAAAGCTATTTCGAGTGATAACCTTAAATTATTTCGAAAATGTTGACTATTTTTTTTTACTTGCATTTCGCCAATTTTCCTATTTTAGTACTAATCTACTTAGTCACATTTCATTCCAAGCTGTGTGATTTAGTGTCTGCTCTTGTTGTGTTTTTTTTAGTAGTTTAAGGGTCATATTCCAGAACTCTACTTAATGTTCAAGTCTGGACTAGTGTATGATTTCAAGCACTGGAAATACGACCCTAATGGCAAGGACTTGAGTATGATTTTCAGTGCTCACTGCAATACTCATGTCCTGACTTGAGTATTGAGTAGAGTTCTGGAATACGACCCTAAGTAAACTAAGTAGAAGTGAAAAAAATTGTCTGTCTATAAAATTGCCAATATGGTTGTTCCCTACTTAATCATACAGCCTAAACAAGATAAAAATATATATGTAAGTAATTATGTTTTAATACATATAATCATCGTCTAATTCAATAATTAGAATGTGTTCTCGTAACAAAATTCTTGAAATGTGTTCAAAGTGAAGCAAGTATCTTTACCATAAATTAAACAGTTTGACAACACAGCTCCCGTAGGTACCTACTATCCCACGACGTCGCCAGCACGTAACCCCCTCCAAATTTACCTTTAATGAGCTGAATATTCTATTGATAGGGGAATGGGAGAATATTTCCTAATGTCGCCTTGGAAACTAGTAGCTTGCCGAATCTCATAATCTTTGCATTGACAATCCATGGAGGACTTATTACAAAGTACTAAAATGTGAGACAGTATTCATGTGTAACAAACCATGGCAATTAATCTATAAAACTTTTTTATTATTATGAATACAAAGATCGAGTGACCGTCAGGATGGCCGGTTGCCTGTCGCATCTGGCACTGAGTATATATTCAAGAATTCCTACCTATTAGCTATATTTTTTAAATAATTGCTACCTTTGATATATTCTGAGAAATTAAAAAAAATAATTGACCAGCCATTCCGAAGTCAGGATGGCTGGTCACCACATTGTTCAGCATGAAGGGAGCAGATTTGCCAGAAAAGTATGTATTACCAATAATTGCTACCTATTTGCTACTTTTACGAATTAAACGTATACGCGTCCCATCTACATGAGTTTAAAAAATTTAAACGATTGAAAATTTTACTATAATAATATGAATGAGTACCCGGCTTTATAGAGCTTGATCCCACTACGCTCTCACCTATTATCATCTATCTATCTCATGTGTAGTGTATTCGTTGCAAGCAAAAATAGTAATCTGCCACTCTGCCACATTTTAATGGTGCTATCTACTAAAACAAAAATCTTTAAATCTATCAATGTTTTTTTATTCGACTCTAACGCTCGATGGATCTGTGCATTCCATAATTTATTGTAAATTGGTTTCAAAATTTTACTGTAAAATACGAAAGTCCCGATTTTCCCGATCACACCTATGCCTAATTTTATGACGGCATGTCCTTTCCTTATTTTAAAGAACTTGCCAGAGCAGAGTTCTCAGTTCCGAAAGCTCGTCGGGATATGATGGAATGTGATGTCCCGTCACACTGGGCTGTATCTTGTTCAGTAATTCAAGATATTTATTACACATAATCATTTTTACATAACCTCCTAAAATGCAACTTATCAGCCTCCCCCCTAATCTAAAAGTTCATAGGTACGCTTTTCTCAAAAGGGGATTAGGAGAATTCAGGCACCACTAGTACTATTGACCCCGATCACCTCCTTTCACGTCCTCCAATAGTAGGTACATCAGCATCCATTGCCATCGATAAACAAAATCACGTATGGTAAAATAATTTCTAGAAAAAAATCTTTACTGATGGTGTAACATACAACATTCATATGTACCTTTCGAGAAAACAATAAAAAAATCCCTTGGGTATGTGTTCACTAATCAGTGAATTTTTCCCAAACCATTTGCAAATAAATACTATATCAAAATACCAAGACATCGATTGATTGGCAAAGCTTTTATACCTACACAGGGCGCACTATAGGTAAGTTTCCGGAACTGGCCACTTACATAAACAATATTTAAAAAGTAAATACAACATTTGAAAATGGAACTCTTTGGCTGTAGAAAACAGTATGTTTCATCTGACTGTCATGTGTTTTTACATTGTGGCGTCATTTTAGAAATAGTTGTCTACATCACCATGGATTTAACTGGTGAAAATGTTCCTAGTATGATTTTCTACGACTTTAGATGTAATTTAATGGCTCAGCGGAGCTTCGCTCGGTTTCAATCTGCTTTTGGCGATGAAACACCATGCAAGACGGCTATTTATAGCTGGTTTGCAGAATTCAACCGCGGTCGTGTGAATCTCAGTGACGAATTTCGTGATGGTCGCCCGTCCACTGCTGTGAATAACAAACAACGTCGATGCTGTGCGTGCGTGCGTATGATCAAAACAGACAGGCATGTGACATACCATGAGATTCGGGCATCTTTAGGCACAGGCATGAGTCAAATACAATCAATACTACACAAACATTTGGGTGTGAAAAGCTGTTATCTCGTTGGATCCCACACAATTTGACTGAGGCTCAAAAAACGGATCGCGTCACTTGGTGCAATGCCATGCTTACCAGGTTCAACGAAAGAGTGTCAAATTTGGTGTGGGATATGGTAACAGGTGACGAAACATGGATTTATAGTTACGATCCCAAAACAAAACAGCAATCGAGCGTATGGGTCTTTCGAGATGAGCCGAAACGAACGAAAGTGGCACGCGTGCAAAGTGCCCTAAGCGGATTATTGCTTCTTTTTTTAATAAAACTGGATACGTGGCTACTGTTGCTTTGGAGAATCGTGGTACCGTGAATAGTGATTGGTACACGACCATTTGTTTGCCGGAAGTTATTGACAAACTCCGTAAAAATAACCGTAAACGCCGTATCATCTTGCACCACGATAATGACAGTTCTCGCACGGCCAGATAGACAACTGAATTTTTGAAGGTGAACAACGTTGACCTTATGAGCCATCCCGCGTACAGTCCCGACCCGGCACCGTGTGACTTTTTTTTATTTCCAAAAATGAAGAAGCAGTTACGCGGTCAACGATTTTCATCACCTGAAGAGGTAGTCGAAGAGTATGAAAAATATGTTTGAGATTGTCACGGAGGAGTGGCATAAATGTTTTCAAAATTAATTCATTCGTATGAAAAAGTACATTAACGCTAACGGAGAATATTTTGAGAAACAATAAATTCATTTCTGACCATTTATAGTATTTTTTCTTATTCATTCCGAAAACTTATAGTGCGCCTCACGTATTTTTTAAAATATCGTAAACCACAACTCCTAGCTTAGATTTGACTGCACCCAGAAAAAGTCGTGAATTAGTGGGTTGTAGTTGCTAAATTTTAGAATTAGTCGCTCCTTTGTTTAGAGGATACAACAGATTTATTATTTCAAATAGTAGATAATAGACCGCGGGCAATCATGTTTTAACAAGTTTTTGTTAAATAACCCGATTTGTGCATTCCTGTATCAATCGGCTAGTTCATAGAATACTAATTCTAACTTGTTGAAGATAAACTATTGTAATATATATAAAATATTGTACTGGATTTTAATTGTAATTTTTATGTGCAATAAAGAATATTTCATTCATTCATTCATTCATAAACGAGTTTATGCATGTTTGTCTTATTCCTGTCGGTGCGTGCTGCTTATGCAATCCTATTTAAACATTTATTATTTCATTTATTATCCTATTTATTTTTTTATTTACGGTTTCGCGCGTAATACACACAGACCTGTATAATTGTTCAACGACATGAATCTCCAACTGCGGGGCGATGAACTAAATTTAATTAAAACAAAAAATGTCGTTGCTGCTTTCGCCAAACTGCTTCTACACAAAAAGAATACGGGCAGACGTGAGGTTCACAATTTTTCGAATTTATCAGTATCCAACGACTTGTTTGCCTACTGCCAACATTTGGGAAACCTCCACATTGACTTCACCGAACGATACCAGGACATTTTGAGCTTGGAAATACCAAACTGGGTGTTGGATCCGTTTTCAAACGTCAATACAGCAATATCACCTCAGCTGGAAGAAGTTATAGAATTGACAACGAACGAGGAAATAAAAATCAAGTTAAAAATGGCTACCAAGAATTTTGGCTACAAAAACCGATCCCGCAATTGTACCCTGGATTGTGGTCAATCCGTTCAACGATTCTTGATAGCATTCCCATCGTCACATGCTGTGACAACAGCATTAAAACCACGTTCACACAAATGTGACGCTGCTTACTAAAAAGAAAAATCGTTTGCTGGTTACCGAACATGGTGACTTGCGGCTGTTCTTGAGTAAATTGGAACCTGATATCAACAAACTTATTAAACAGCATCAGGTTCATCTTTCACATCAGTTTTTATATTAGAATCGATCATGTTTGTTTTATTTTGAATAACAGATACTTGTCTGAATACTATAAAGTTGCGTTTCAATAATCATTCTCATTGGCAGGTGTAGCCCGTAAGAGTTAACTTGAGACCTGGGCGCCGTTGTGTACTACCTACTGCGCTCAGGTCTCAAGTTAACTCTTGCGGGTTATAGTAAAAGTCTCGTTTAGAATGAATGTTTAATCTCCGCTAATATAGCTCACAATAATTAATATAATTTGAAGTTATAGTGGTTTTTAAGTAGGTGAAAAAATGGGGGCGCTAAAAAATAATTTATTCTCAAAGTGGGCAAAAGACAAAATAAGTTTGGGAGCCCCTGGAATAAACGAGGACTATTATAATTTATAGCGCAAGTCATTTTCAACTACAATTTGTGTTACGGTTAAATTTAACTAAAAATTCAGAAAATACTTAAAATATTTATTTATTACACTATCAATTCTAAATTATTTTAATCACCACGAACACGATATCTTGTATGATTTCACAACACACGTTTAGAGCAGTGACCTTCCTCCGTCCAACCATTTATTTAACTTTTGACATATGCATACCTACGGACATCGGACCACAGACATTATGTCTGCGCTACGGACTCAAAGGGCTGCTACACGTAAACACGATACGTCGTATGTGTAAGAGCCCTTAGGGCCCCCCGCTAGGGTACAACGTCATCGTGTTACGACGCGACGTCGTATCGTGTTTATGTGTAAGTGCCCTACCTCCGAAAGTTATTTAATCGATGCTCGAAAATTATTGGCGTACAACCATAGACAAAAAAGGACTCCTATTTTTTTATTTTAGTGAAGCGACTCTTTCCAATTCTTAATTGGATTCTTCTCCATATGATCGAGTATCATCACTTGAATCCTCATTCGAGCTGACAAAAAATAATTGAACGGAGAATATTTATTTTTGAACAAGTGTATGACTTTTCTACGAAAATGTAACCATCAATGACAATAATTGAATACCTATCCAACGTCATCCAAAGGAGCGACTAATTCTCAAATTTTGCAACTAGAACAGACTAATTTTCTGGGTGCAATCAATCTAATCTAGAAACTGGTTCTCGAGGTTTACTCAGGGTCGTATTCTAGAACTCTACTCAATGCTCAAGTCAGGATTGCCCTAGAAACACAAGCACTGGAAATACGACCAGAATAGCAGGGACTAGAGTATGATTTAGTGCTCTTTAAACCATACTCAAATCCTGAGTATTGAGTAGTTCTGGAATACGACCCTTAGTGTGGACGATATTTAAGTATATGGGTAGCTATATACTATATCTAAGGCGTGTACAGTAAAAACACCACTTCAAAACGGTATAACGACTAAACTTAGTTTTTTACGACTAGAACCTACAAAATCACGACTTTTTTAATCAGAGTTGTGGTTCTAGAGATTGAGAAATAGTGCCGCTAGAATAAGCTTATTCCGGCGTCGATAGTGAAACACCATTATTTCTAACTTTTGAACGGCGAACCGACAATCTAGTTTTTACTTTTTTAGCGACTAGAAGACTGACTAAATAGAAACTTTTTCTCTGGCTAGTCAAATTTCAAAAACCATGGTCACGCTGGAATAAGGCACGCATAACATTGTGATAAATAATGCACAGCACCTGTAGCTGTACCTTTTTGGTATGTTATGTTCGGGTTTAAAAAGAAAACAATATAATTTAAAAAAATACTTTTATTTAAAATCAAGTCAACATTTAAATATTAAAATACCACGAAGCGTGGCCATAAATAGATCGTTTCACAAACCCATATAGGTAAAATCTTGATGATTGCTGTAATTATTTGTCACGTATGCCTATAAACATAAAATTAATTTTGAAAATTAATTTACTTAAATACGCAGTAAGTACGAGGTCGATTTGGTAGTCCGTGACTTTGAAAATAAACATTTTTTTTTAATTACGTTCTATTTTTCTACGTCATCTCCTTTTATCTCTATACACCTTGACCAGCGATATCCCAACTTCTTCAAACCATCAAAAAATTTTTTGACAAACTGAAACATAAGGCTGTTTCATGTATCACTTCCTCATTAAACGCAAATTAGTAGAAAATCAGATAAAAAAAGTAAATGTGGCCAAATCTGGTGAAAACTGGGGATGTGGCAATAGTTAATATCATAATTCCCCTTCTTGCCCATGTTTCGATGTCCAGTGCCTTTACCAAGAGTTTACTGCGACAATTGTCGCTAGCCACCGCGTACATAATTTCAGAATGTTGTGACAAAGTAAACAGCGCCCCTAGCAGTTAAACAAATTCTGTACATGGTTTGCAGTTTCCCACACCACCGAATAGAACAGCACGGCATTGTTAGAGATATCTTTATTACAATAAATACAGCATATTTTGAGAGTTGATATTTATAAGAGCAAGAGAATCAAACGAGAGTTGATATTTATAAGAGCTGTATCGCTAATGTGTTACTAGGAATATATGGCCCTTATTTCGTCTCGTATTTCTGGTTATATATATACTCGACGTGGTAGAGGCACTGATTGTAGATGAGAACGGAATACTCAGATTTATTTTAAAATTCAGTTTCTCAATCTTCAGGAAATACATCGACCTCACATGATTTTTTTTCGCGCTAATTCTAAAAAAAGCAATGTCACAGTTGCTTGCTTATTAGACTCAATACAACCTTAAGTACCTATTCAGCAAACCGTACTCGTATTACAGGTCGGAATGGGGTGTATATTAGTGTGGATGATATCCTTCTGATATCCCAGTATTAGTGTTTAAGTAGGAACACACACAGCAAACATGTTCATAATGGTAAATAAAAATACGACTTCTTTGTTTTGGCTTTTTACATTTTATTTTAAATAGCTCTGAGATTTCATAAGGACGTACGTAAGGTCGTAGGACTAAGTTTTACCACAGATTTAGGCAAGTATTATATATAGTCTGTTTCTATCTCTGCTACTCGGTCGATTACAACAATGGAAAAATACGGAAGTTAGCCTGTCCTCCATGTAAAGGTATCATACTTATATCAAAATGCTGCTATGCTGTTATTTCCATCTCAAAATAGTGACATCATTATAGAGGCGCGCATGAATTGCACACTAGAATCTGATACATAGTGATGTACATTGTAATTTTTGTGAAACGACCTATTGATCACCAATCTGCAGGATTCAATCTTTTAAATACATATTACTAAAGAACTTCAGTGTCCAAAACTTTTTTTAACGCATCTTTTATCTTGCAAATAGGTTCATTTTACAAACAAACCACACAAACTTACCTTCAGTGGCACGGAACTGTGCATAATGTAAGATCCGACGCTCCCAGACGATCATGGAAATAAAATACATGAATTAGCAAATAAAATGAAATAAAAAAAAAGCCTACCATGATGTTCAGTATGCTGATAAGATTGTTATACTTCGATCATATAACTGGTACCCACCCACTACTAAAAAACAACTAAGGGCAATTAGTGAATCGGTACAAGGTGCTAAACTATTCTTTGCATAATTTAAATTTCCGCAGCGTAATGAAGAATCCCACCTCTATAACAAATGAAGTCCCAATAATATCATCTGCTAATAAAATATCATATCTAGAGACATCTATACTTGCATAAGTGAAACTGTTACTACTGTAGATGGCGCTTTGCCGACAAATACTGTTATTTACTGCGACCTCAACTGCGTAGAAAAATACCGTTATCTACGACACCGAACTCGCGTGTATAACCCCGATTATGGCTGTACCAAGCGAAAGGTGATAGGACTGTCCCAAAATGTGGATGTCAACACTGATACGGTGACTAGAGTTCACAAAGTATGTCATCGACATCATGTCTAACATTTGAATATAACTTGCCAAAAACTCTCTTCCTTACAGCACGATTTACGCAGTTTGCTTTTATGCCTATAACTAACTTCGTATTCCTGTACTTCCAGGACAGCCCTCTCTAATGGTAATAAGAATATAAATAGGTACCTACTGTGGTGATAAGTTGCTGGTGCCTGGTAAAAAGTAATTCAAGGAAAAATGAGTAGAACTAAATGGTTAATATTATCTCTTAAAATTTATTTCCTGTTGTCTTTTTGATTCTAACATACAAGTAACCAATTTAGAATTAAACATCAATCAACACTTGCACAACATATTGTTGCGAGTTGTGTGCTGATAGAATATGTAAGAACTAAAAAAGGAATATTTATTTACATTGTCTAAGGAAACAACCCTATTTGTATTAAAATTTATTTTTACATTTATTTAAATCTATAAAGTCAATAATTCTACACCTAAGTATTATGTATTCATAACAGCTATTTGAGAATTTAATACTGAGTAGTCAGAAAATTAAAATCAGTATCAAGTTTACTTTGTTGTCTATCTGCAATTACCATTCTGTTTCCGTTCATTCAGCCTATCATCTATCTTCAGGGTTTCTCTCTGACATGATTATCCTAAATTGTACTTAATTATCCGTAAAAAAAAGTAGCTAATTCTGATTTTACATTAAATCCTAAAGACCTTAAAAAATATGTCACGGTAAGTAAGTACCTAAGAGTACTACAATAAATAGAAGACCAACTTACAATCAGTACAAATTCAAAGTAAATCTATTCATTCATAATTGTCTAAAGAGTCAAGAGCTCCAACTACAAACTATGGTTTCCTGACGGCTTCTCCTAGGTGGTCTCGCGTGTGGACCATGATGTGTATCTAGTGCTCCGGAGCGTACTGCCTACACTAGCACGGTTAACTCTGCTTTACTAGTGTACTTAGCACGAAACCTAGAGATTGAAAAAACCTTTAATGAGTCATAAACAAATAAATACACTAACAGTAGAAGCTACCTTCATAGCATTAATCTTTGGAACTAACAGTGTAATTTTTGTTATTCGCTAACTATTCCTAGGCTCAATTAATGCTATGTAGTGCTCAAATATAAAATTGCTCACAACCTAAAATAGAGAGAACTCAATGACTAGGCTAATCCACATTATCATCCTAAAGAATGCGAATGTAGAGAAAAGGTAGTTTTTGAATTCAGGTTGTGATGTGAATTGGCACGAGTGAATGAATGTTGGTGATGTAATAATTAATACTTACATTACATTAGAATCTTCCACCTCGGCTGCCACCCTGGCCACCCCCGTAGTTAGCATTGCCGCCGCCGTAACCGCCACCGCCGCCACCACCACCACCGGTCTGATTCATGTTGTATGGTGTAGCACGATTATTGCTATATTGTTGGTTCCTTGTTGGGCCCCCACTATAACCCTGTTGGTTGTAATTGCCAAAATCTTGGTTGCCCCAGCCCCCTCCTCCGCCTCTCTGATTACCACCCCCATATCCACCTCCCTGGTTACCACCCCAGCCTCCTTGGTTGTTATCCCAAGGGTTTGAGTTGTTCCATCCTCCCTGAGTGTTACCATAACCACCTGTAAAATTAAAAATAATTTAATTAAAAACTGTTCATAATATATGTAATATAATGTAAACCCTAACATGAAATTATGCATACCAGTATTCCCACCCCAGTTATCATTCCTGCCTCCAGGGCCTCCCTGTCTACCACCCCTTTGTTCACCACCATCTTTAGGCAGTGCTTTTTTCACATCCAACTGCTTCCCATTGATTTTGTGAGGGGCATTCACTGCAAAAACAAAACAATTGTTAAACTTATAATCTACATAATGAGTGTTAACAAGACTTGGAGGAAAATTAAATGTTCATTGATTTGCGTACCATATCTCCCACTTAATAGGTAGTAAGGTATAACAAAACAATTGTTAGACTTATAATCTACATAATGAGAGTGTTAACAAGACTTGGTGGAAAATTAAATGTTCATTGATTTGCGTACCATATCTCCCACTTAATAGGTAGTAAGGTATAGCTTAGATCAATGGTCGATATCCACAACAAGAGAAGCCAGATTTGGATACAAATGCTCCATTCTGGGGCAAAGTTGTGGAACTTCAAGAATAATTCAAGGTACTCACGGCAAACTTTGTCAACAGGGTCATAGTCGTCGAACTCCACAAAGCCAAAGCCACGCTTCTTGCCAGTTGCCTTATCAGTGACAACACTGACGTTTTGAACAGTGCCATAAGCAGAGAAATACTCTCTAAGCTGATCCTCATCATGATCATCCTTAATTCCACCAATAAACAGTTTCTTCACTGTAGTACCTGCCTCTGGATTCTTAATGTCTTGTCTGGCCACAGCTCGCTTGGTTTCGACAACTCTAATAAACAAAATATCTAATCAATAAAAAGAATCTGGAGCATATTGTATGGCATGTAGGTCAACAATGGAACTGTCGACTCCACAGAAAATGCCACGTGTAAAATACCATGAGACATTCACCAAGCAGTGTCTTTATTATCTCTGCAGCTTGAAACGATATGACAGCGATAATAAAGCTTTCATATAGCTGGACTGCAGTGAATTATAATTAAAATCGAGAAAACAAAATACCGTCCGTCGATGCGATGGGGCCTGTTGTTCTGTGCGTCATCAACCATATGCGCCTTGGAGTAGGTGATAAAACCAAACCCACGCGACCGTTTGGTTTTGGGGTCCTTCATAACGACCACATCTACGATTTCTCCCCATTTCTCAAAATGAGCTTTAAGAGATTCATCAGTAGTGCGATAGTTAAGTCCACCAATGAAAATTTTGCGATGGATCTCGGGCTCATCCTGAAAGGAGGGCAGTCATTCAACAAAATGGCGGACAGCGTGGCGTCATTTCCACGACGCAATAAGGAAAAGTACAACTATTCCTTAACAGTAATACACACTTTTTACACAATGAAGATACTAAACCTGAAGCGAATTAATTTCTGCAGTTCAAAGACAATAAAAGAACCAAATCAATAAGTACAAACAATAAAATAATTTGTGAATACAATAAATACTTACAAAGCCATCATCACCGTTCTGCGGTCTCATTTTTGATCGGTGAATATTGAAGTCTGGTGTAACGAAATGAATATAATAAACAAACACAAGGTTTAGCAAAAAAAATCACTTAGAAAACACTTATTTTTGACGGCAACCTGACGAAATAGATGTTTCGCACAACCTATCTCAACGACGCCTCGCCAAAAAGAAAGGAAATGGAAATCGATCGTTCAGTTATCCATCGCTACACGGTAGGTTTGAGTGGGGAAGTGGGGGGGCTGAATAATGTTACTATAACTACAACATTTCTACTAATATGGTAACATAGACAAGTGCGATTGGAAATCGTGTCCCATTTGGTGGGTCGCGACCATGAGAATAATATACCGGGTCGCAACATTCCCGCCTTGTTGAAGTGCAGCCAGACCTCAGAATAAAACTTTCGTCATTTTCCGCGAACATGGATTCTTTACTAAAATATAACCAACAGCTCCATACTTCGCACTAAATAGGCGATAACGAAATAATATCATTAAAACATTTTTACTAATAATAAATGTTCATTATTTTACTTAACGTAATCAGCTTGGCCTTAAAAATACTGGTAGAGTGGGTCACGAAGAAGCAATATGAAAATTACCGGGCCGTGTCAGAATAATGTTTAGGGAACATGGCCTTAGGACATAAACTAAACTTGTAAATAAAATCAACTAAGGTACGCGAAATCAGTAGGTGCTAATCACATAAATACAGTTTGTTTGTGTTTGGTATGTCACCGTATTTAGAACATTTATGATTCCAAATGCTGACTTAACTTTTTGTAATGTTTTATTTCATATTTACTTGCTAGTAAACATATCACAATCGAAATCTTACATTTTATTTTGTCTATAAATTTACATCCGTAATCCCTGGCGAACTACCACTACTACAAACGTGTCTTGGGAAAAAAAATATTTTATGAATTGTGCAAAATGTGAAATAAATCCCTCGAGAAAAGTTTTTCCATTCGTGTTTTTATTTTAGTGTTTTGTTGACTAAATACCATGTAATTGTTACCAAAAGCTAAAAAAATTAAGTTGGTTCAAGCATAAAAAGTAATATAATAATTATGTTCGAATTATGTATCGTTCAAATCAACTGCAGCCGCGACGCTTGCAATTGAAATCTTGACTGCATGCAGTTAATCACAGTTAATCACGACTGCAAGCATTTACTGTAGACATACAGTGCATCTGTTAACAGTCTAACCGTATGTGAGTGTTTTTCAGTTTATTTTCATTTCATTTCCAACAATCCTTAAAATGAAATAATAACGTCAGGTAACTAAACAAATAAATGCTATCGACTAACAACTTAAGTGGTGAGTTTCTTTCTTGAGATTGACTTATTTCATTTACAAAGGATTTAAAAAAAAGAAGAAATGACCGAAAAACGCGCTGTAAGCATTGACCTACCAATAAATGAACGTCAGATTCGCGCTAAAAAGTGTCCGCACTTGTAGGGCGTTAAAATCGTATACAGAGCGTCAATCGCGCTATAGTCTTCGTTTGTTTGACTGACAGCGCGGTTGTCAATCATGCAGTACCAATATATGCAGTACAAATAATAACTTGTAAAAACTACTGCAGAAAAGTATGAAAACAGGATTTTTTATCATATTTTCAATAAACAAATATATTGTGTTATCATAGTTGTCATTTAAAAGTGTTATTTTGTACAGGTTTATAGTATTTAATTTATATATAACTGAATCGTAAATATAAATTACAAAAGCAGACGAAATAATGAAATAGCTAACTGTCCTTTTTCTACTCATTGCATGCAAAAGATGGAAAAAGACCAATTACGTCAGTTTCAAGAAGCTTGTATAAACTTCTTGGTCATTTTCAATTGTTCGAACCACAAGCGATTGAAATACTTAGAACAAAGAAACTCTAGAGTTGCTTTGATTTTAATGCTATTTCTAAAATGATTTTTTTATTAAACGTTAGCAATAACCAACAAAATATTGTTGCACTCGTTTTACGGTTTGGGATTACCTATCAGAAGTCAGAAAATACATTTGCCCGAAATAACATTAGCTCGAATTTTCATAATATGTTTGTAAGAAGATTACAAAACGAAAGCTAATTTTGTCTATGTAAAAAACATCAAAATTACTCGAAAGCGTAACGGTTTTGTTATGAATCGGAATTACGGATATTTGAGTTTACGTTTAGTTAGAATATCGGTACATTTCTTATAGTACACGCTTATTTTCACATTTGTAGTAATAATTGTATGTATGTATCTGCCCAACTCTTTATTATACCTTTAAGTGAATTTGTACAAAATTCGACATAATAATATATATAAAAAAATTAATTAATATTTACGAGAAAGGCTATTCCATTATTCTTGTGTTCAAGTAATTTTCAGTCGAAGCTAAATATGTTGCATTTTGTTAAGTTTCCAGTAGAAGCTGAATATGGTGTTTTTGGGTCCTTAAATTGTTGTAAGCAAATTTAGGCAGTACTGCAATGACGTTACAATTTAAATTAATTGTTTTAGTTTTTTATATTTCGTTACATGTCACTACGTTTGTATAGGTTAACCTCGGACATTCTTTTCGTGGTTTTTGTATTAGACCCGATGTCCATTTGTTGGTAGGTCAATGGCTGTAAGCACAAAAAAATTATTGGTAAGAAAGCAATAAATTATTAGCAACATAAAAATGATACCAGCTTAACCTATCTAAATTATTGCCAATATTAGAGCTCGTTTTATTTTTCGTGCACAGATCGTCTTCACGAACCATATAATCCGGGATAAAGCGAAAAACCACTCGATTTACAAACTCTTATTGTATATCGTCTTTTATTTTTCATTAATTAATATAGAAGGAAAATGTAAAACATTGTGAAACTACTGGCAGGCTCGATATTGTATTTTTGATTAACCAGTTCCGGTATATTAAATGCCGCTCTAGGATTGGCTAGTGATAATATTTGGTGTTCCAGGAGGCTTTGATTTTGGCGAAAACGAGTGTGACAGTATATTCACAGCGAGGCTGAGTAAAAGAGACAAACAATGAAATTTCTTAAACATTTTGCTACTTGAACTATACCGTGTGACGTTATCATTTTTCATGTTGACTGACGTTTGTTTTCTTTCGAATTTCATCTTTCGTTCCATGAATTGTTTTAGACTAAGGATAAAAGGAAAATTGTGTGCTCAATGCGCTTTACCGATCTTTTAAGTAATAATAAGTGTTAAATTAAACCTATTTGTATACCTATTGAAGCAAAATATCAACATGAAACCAAGCGGTGGTGGTGATGAATTTGTGAGTAAAAACAATTTTTCTTTTTACCGGCACTGTTTTTCACATTGTCTGTTTTAGGTAACTTAACTTTACAACTTCGAAATAATTCACGTTCTTACAACCAATAATAATAGGAAACATTAATAATTATTATAACAACAAATGTAAGGAATTGATTTATGAGTTGTCGCAGCGCATATCGCGACATCATTTCAAATTAATTAACCGTGTGATTAACTGTGTTTCTAACGGGGAGAAATTCAATAAGGTACATTAATGAATTGCCAATTTTTTCCTGCTTGTTCAGGTACGTCATTATTTAAATCTATCTTAAACAGAGTGTAATCTTTAAGCGTGCCCTGGCGATTATACGGTCAGACGATAGGAAAGGAGGTACTATGTAAACTGGACTGGAATGTTTAAAGGCTTTTATAAGTTTGTTTTAAATTGTTTGTTTCAGTTAAATTAGATAAATAAACACTTTTTGTTCTTAATAGTTTTTCTCCGCGGGCGATAGGTTTCGAGAAAATTAAGCTGAAAAATTTTCATTTACCAAGGACTTGGAAAAATTCAATCGATTTTTTTAAGTTGAATACTTTAAGAGGTTACTATAAGTTTACTGATAACAAAACTGCTATAAATAAAGTAATAAAATTATATTTTAATTGAATAAAAACAATATTTATTTTTAAGTACAAAATTTTGTGTTCCTATTAGTTGTTTGAAACTAAAGCCTCTCTATGAATGTCATGTTAAATGTACAGGAGTGTTAACATTGAAATTTCTAGTTTTATTTTTTTTAAAGTCATTGATGTTGTTTTATTTATTAGGTCACATACTTTCAATATCAGTTTAAAGGTTTTTGATATCTCTTATATTTACAGAATAATCACATGGGTACACTTGACAATTACATCCTGTATCAACAACCTTCATTTATTTTTATTTCTAGGAAGAGCCAGAACATATGCGAAAGTTGTTTATTGGAGGTCTGGATTATAGAACTAATGACGCATCATTAAAAGAGTTCTACGAGCAATGGGGTGATATTGTAGATGTGGTGGTGATGAAGGATCCCCAGACGAAGCGTTCAAGAGGATTTGGCTTTATCACATACTCTCGAGCTCATATGGTTGATGATGCCCAAAAGAATAGGCCCCATAAAATTGATGGGCGGTAAGCTTTGTAGTCAGTTTTTTCCAGCGAAAAATCAAGATTTTGTCATATAGTTAACAATTTTCTGCTGAAGATGTAATTTACAAGTGTTATTTTCCTTAATCCCGTTTAAAAATCATAAATGTATCAAATTATTTATATAATCCAATAAAAAGTATTGTTTCCTTATTCAGAGTAGTAGAACCAAAGCGAGCAGTGCCTAGGGATGAAATTAAGCGGCCAGATGCAAGTGCTACAGTTAAAAAGCTATTTGTTGGAGGTCTCAAACAGAACATTGAGGAGGATGACTTGAAGGAGTACTTCAGCTCTTACGGGAACATAGTCTCCGTGAGTTTAGTGACTGAAAAAGAGTCTGGCAAAAAGAGAGGGTTTGGATTCGTAGAATTCGATGATTATGACCCTGTTGATAGAATATGCTGTAAGTATATACCAAGGTTCTTCTGAGCAAATTAAATTTTTACACACCCAGAAAGATAAGCTTTTAATAATGATTTATTTGATTAAACAATCTGATTAAAGTTAGAAAGCTGAAAGGTAGATTTTATTGGTAACAGAAATATAATACATAATTATGTTTTCACCTTCAAAACTACAATAATAACATTATGGTATGCAATAAAGTATTGAGTATAATAATTATAGTTCTGATAGTGCTAAGTGGCATGAAGTTAATTGTATGGCTGGTAGTGTACGCGTTTAGCCAATGTTTGTACTCAGTGTTGATTATGTGTGTAATGTTTGCTTTTAGTGCAGCAAAACCATAAGATCAATGGGCAGCGTTTGGACGTAAAGAAGGCTTTGTCAAAGTCAGAGATGGCCACGGGCGGGCCCGGCGGTGGCGGCAGCAGCAGTGGCAGGCGCGGTGGCGGTCGCGGCGGTGGTAGCGGCGGCTGGGGCAACCAGCAGGATTGGGGCAATTCAGGTGAGTTTCATTTAGCTCAACCAATGAACCTTTGTTATTACTTTTTCTTTATGAAAAGTGGTTGTTATTCCAAAGAAGTATAAAAAATGATTAAAGATTGACATCTAACATAATTAGACATTATTCTATATACTAATACTGCACGATTTTGATACCATACGCATTATTTTTTTGCACATCTATCAAATTATTAGATTCTATCATTATGAGAAATGGTAAATCTATTAGGAGAATGAATTGGTATGTGTAAGATCTGTACATTTTTTTATAACATCAATAAGTGACAGGACGAACACGCCGTGCGCCTGATGATAAGCTACATGCCTTTCCATAACAGTTACAGTGCCACTCAGAGCTTTAAATTGCAAAGATCTGAGGGACACTACCCCACTGCGCCCACCACTCTGAGACATAGTTGACAATTCCCATGTGTCTGTACCAGCACCCTTACCCTTCAAAACCGGAACACGGTAATGCTGACATTACTGTATGGCGGCAGCAATAGGTAAGGTGGCAGTACTACCCAGGAACTCTTTCACAAGGAGCTCTACTGCTACTAAACGTAACATAACATCTTATCAGTTTATGTGTCAATACTGGCCTCCTTGTACATAACATTAATATTGTAGTGGATCTATTACGGATTGGACACAACCATTCAAGAGATTGGAGAGCATAGATTGCAGAGCGCATACTGTACTTCTATGCAAATCATTTACCACAGGTTATAACACAGGCTATGGACAAGGCGGCGGCTGGGGCAACCAGAGTCCCTGGGACTCGAACCAAGGCGGCTGGGGCAATCAAGGGTACGGCGATCAGGGCGGTTGGGGCCAGACTGGGAACAACTTTGGTAGTGGCTACCAGCAAGGCTATAGCGGGGGACCCATGCGGCCCAATTATAACACTGCGCGCTCGCAGCCTTATAACGCCGGTAAGTGTTTACTAACATGATAGGCATTTTAGTTATTTAGCATTATTATCTAATGAGCACTATAAGTAACTGAGCTCATTCACAAACGACAAATCATGATGTAATAATATAATGATATTTACATTCATTTGAAAATAATTAGTATGTAATTAAGTTTTCTTGATTAAGACGAAATTAGATGGGGTTTCTCCTCTATTGTAAGATATTAGGTTTTCGCGATTGTTACGTATAGGAAATGAAACTTTGTTTTTTGAAATAAACCAACGTATCGAGCATTATAGTCATGGCTGACCGTCATTGTCAGTCAGCCATAACCCGTAAAGGGCCTGATACGTTCGTTTGTTTGAACAACAAATATACGCGATTTGAATCGGAAAAACATAAGTGTCATTTTCTTAAACAAAAGTTTTTGATTTGAACAACGTAATCGACATTTATGAGCGAAATTGCGTTATTAACATATGAGTAGTTCAGTTGCAAACAGCGCTATGTGACATTTTTAATGATTTTTAGTTAATGGCGTGAAATGGATCAGTATTTTAAATAATTTCAAATACTTCAACAATACAGTGTCGAAACTTGGTATATTTTCATCAAATCAGTGTCAAATGTTGACTACTTTTGCAAAAGTCGTTATGTTTTGTAGTTTTACACTTTCAAAAGTTGCCATTTTGTCGTCAACCTGCAAACGCTGCTCTATTGAGTGTAAACTCATGCAAAATCCGTTATTTTGTTTTGCATTTATTATTTTGTTATCCGCGAGGTCCCTCGTGTTCATTTATTAAAAACTTGATCGTCAAACATTTCGGAGGAGATTGGTTAACATACGAAATTCTTGAATTGTGAAAAGTGACCGAAGAATAAGAAATAACATATAAAGGCCTAAAGGAAAATTAAAATTGCAAACAAGTTGTATTTTTTACTATTATCATAACAAAACTAGCCATGTTATCATTTTGTTATTGCAAAAGTAGCTACGGTAATTCTGAACAATTACAAAACTAGTTATTTTAGGATTAGTATTGCAAAACTCTCTGTTGTGTAAGTATTTATTCGAAAGTTACCAAAACGCACGTGCTTTGTTTATGAAAAGGAAGGCGGAACTGCTGATTAAGAAATTGTAACTAAAACTTAAAACCGTCTCGGCTATAGAAATTTATTATTTAAAAGATAGATTAAAAACTCCATCAGTATTAAAAGACACAAGACAACACCAAAAATATCTAGGTGATGATGTTCCGATATCAGGCGGCGGCGGTGGCGGTGGCGGCGGCTACGGCACGGGAGGCGGCGGTGCTGGCGGTGGACCCGGCTACAATGTGGCTTCCACGCCCGCCGCCGCTGGCTCGCAACGCCGCTTTTAACCACAGGCACCCCTCCGCACACCCTCTCAGCTCTCTTGTGAGTATCGCTCTTCGACTAAATCAATGGTTCTATTCAAACATTAATATTGATAGCGCTGGATTTTTAGGTTCAATTTACATTGCGGCAATTACGCCTCGCTGCGCGAGAAGTCGCGCGCGATCGAGCATCCGCGAGCATTCTCGCTACTGCGCCCTACTATATTTCGTCGACGTTTGATGTCGCTTTCCGCGGGTTCGCCACGCGTCGCGGACGGCAGCTGTAAAATTCCACAAAAGACGCGCGACGTGATTTTTGGCCCGTATCTAGTTTGTACGTTACACATTGAGAAAGTTCATTACGCTATTACTTACTATTACGCTATATATCATTACAATATCGTGAAAAAAATTCGCTTCTACACCATTCCGCCGCAATATGAATTGAGCCTTAAATTCTACATTCGGAACTTTCAGTAATCTGGTACGGTTGAAAAACATGTTACTACAGCCGATAGTGAAATTCCGCTTTGGTGAAACATGCAAAAACTGATACAGTTACACGTCACCTCACCGTTTCGACCACACTTACACAAAGTTCTAGTAAATCGACCAAAGAATATGAGTACGATACGTAATTAATTATTTCATCTCTTTAGGCATTTCCTAGTTTTCAGGTGAAGTTTCTAACGTGTATACTTATCCAGTATTTTTAATACTTAGGTGTCAAGTTGCGCTTAGTTGAAGCTAGGCAGGCAGACATAGAGTAGACGGGAGGTAGGCCAGGAGACAGCTAGCTAGTGAGGGACAAGCGGACTTAGTGAAGCGACTGCATTACATAGTCATTTTACAATTTTTTTCTTCTCCATGTAAGGTTTGTTCACATAAGGTATCGTAGGCACTAGATTCTTTTTTCTTATTTAAGATATAGTCGTCTAGCACTGAATCACAGTTTTTACATTTGAAATTCACAATATGTAAGCACGGCTTTGTTTCGTGTAACTACTAGTCAGGGCTTGCAGTTCCCCATTGGGAATACGTACACGTACGCGGAAAGGGTATTAACCGAATAAGTTCCATTGTAAAAGCTGTGGCTAGAATGAGTGTTTAGTATAAGTAACGAATTTTATTAATGTTTAATGATATTTGGTTAGTTTTTTTTTTCAATATCGTTTTTGTTTCGCTAGAGACAGCTATATGACATTCCAAAAAATATTACGAAGTGGCGAAGTGCAATCGTTATGTTATCCTTATTAATTATAATATACAATTTTAAGGTAAACTTAAACACCAATATAGCTATCAAATATATAAAATCTAATTGATATTAGTTTAGGATTGCAAAAGGACTAAAATAAGGGTTGACACTGAATAGGTAGTTTAATGGAATATGAGTACCTAATGATTTTACTAAGGACTAAAATGTAATTGCAATTGGTTGTTTTAATCAATTAATTTTATCTTGTTATGTTTTCCACATATTTTATTTCACAATAGTGTTAAGGATTGTTAATGTAGCAATAATAATTTTATTATATTGTTTGTGTGCAATGGATTAAATAAATACTGTTTTCCATGGACTCTTCTACACGCGGACGAGCCTCCTCGGTGGAAAAGGCCATGGTAAGTGGACTTGCCCGAAATAAAATATTATTCAATGGTAACTTTATTTTTATTTCAACATAAAACCCAGTTGGGGGATGGTGCATAATTTTACAATTTAAACTACTATTATATGCTAATTGTTACACGACTTCAGTTTGAAAATTCACTAGAATTAGAGGTACTAATGTACAACTTATATTTAATTTCATAACATCTTGGACTAATGCCTGTATTACCATAAAACGAGTTTCAGGAATATATAAGTATTGTAGGTTTAACTTAATAAATAAGTACAGTAAAACTCTCTTATTAGAACAAATTGGTTGCATAAGCGCTCTGACAATAAAGCTAAAGATTCTCAAAGAAATAAATGTGTTGCTGACTCAGATGCCCTTCAAATGGACATAGACAAAATAATATTGCTGGTTTAAAGAGAATAATAGTATGGAGTTGAATACGGGTAAGTGCTATAAGATGTTTACATGCTAATTATTGCTCTACGGAGACCGGTTAGCGAGTCCGAGAACATATCCACTGTGGTACTCTGTTCATTGTGTAGTCTAGACAGACGGCAGACTGGTGAGTTCAGACCTAGTTTAGTTCTTCTAAATGGTGGCGACAGAAGGGCAACAATCTTACGACGAGGGTATCTACGCGGAATTGTACTTTGCTGTCAATTACGGACAATCAATTTTGTTATTTGAAATTTTGTATAAAAAAGTAAGGTCCAAAAGATCTCTGCACTTTTCAAGCGATACCATTTGAAACATTTTTAGTCTCGATAAATGTGAGCGAATTCTTTTAGCTGCGCCAGTCGCATTAGATCAGGCCTCTAAAACTGAATTTCGACACACGCGACTCCGACAACCTGTTACATCGACATGATTTTACTCAGACATTACGTTACTCCGACAATGTGTTACATCGACATGATTTTACTCAGACACTACGCTACATCAACAACACAGACGAGGTGTTTATTAAAAAAAAACTTTGTACTCTGATAAGAAAAATCATCATTACAAACCTACGTAGGAAATGATTTCTTATTATATATCGATATATTATTATATATTCTTATTATATATCGATCAATATAACAAAAAAAATCATATAATCGAAAAATTCTTTTATTTTATAAAGTGTAACAAAAAACTATTAAATTAAAATGTAAACTTTTACTACACTATTTCATGTATGTACAAAAACCCAATTACAGGAAACAGAAAAAACATAAATTATTATTTTCGAAGCATAATTTTGGATAGTGTCTTTTATCGGCTCACAAAAGATCCTGACAATATACCAAGCCAAAACGGAGAAAATAAAAGTCCTTCAGGGTCCCAACCCTAAATAAGTAACTTTTTAATAGCTAAAAAGAACCATGCTGCTTAACTTCATATAATGTATTTTTTTAAATATGCTAAATGGATCCATGTCACATGTACTGAAGTTACTGTCTACAGTACTTCAGTACATGTGACAAAAAGATCATGAAAGATCTATCTTTAGCGTTTTCATTACGAAAACTAAAACATGGTTCTCGTTAACTAAATGAAAAGATACATAATATTTTCTATTTATTGCTATATAATATAATACTTTCCCTATATCATTCTCAAGTTGTTTGCCTCAAATAACTTACCTATTTATTTCTTCACACTGTTTTTACAAAAGTCTAATTATCTCGAAAGTGACATTTTGTGGGTTGGTTCTAGTTTGCATAACTATGTCCAACTTTTTGAGTTACATAGTACAAAGCCTGGAAGCCCTGAGAACTGTCTTTTCTATATGGGGTACGAAGGTAAGTTTGGAGTCTAGTATAATACCTAAGTCTTTGATTGATTGTACTGAGTGCAGGCAAATTGTTTTCTGTTTCTTTGTAATTGTATCGGATTTCATAGCATTTAAATATTAAGACTAATCTGCTCAATGCAAGTTGTGTTTCAACTGTCACTAGTTGTGCATCTTGGCATAATACTAATAACAAATTGTGTCACTGTTGATGAACCTAATAAATAAAATATCGTGTGGTTATTTCATCAGTATATAACCAGAAATAATTTAATTTGTTTGAAAACTATTCTGCCAAATCATTACTGTGACAACTGCGCTCCGATTGGCCACCCCGAATTCGTCGTCAAATGTTTCACTTCACATCGACTAGTTTACCTTGAGCTTTGCTATAATGGCCTAAAATTAAAAAAAAAACATATTTATTTACCGATGAAATGTGATTCCATTTGTTTTGTAATTAGATGTTTTGCTGTTTTTCCCCACACCACCAAATTGAACAACCCCCATTGTTAGAGATATTATCTTTATTAATAAATACAGAATACTTTTGTTGAACAATATGCTACTATATAATGACTTACCTTCTACCTTATACGATTAAATATTACCGAGTAAATATTGTTTACTATTATACTCAAATTAGTAATAAATAGAACAAGCACCTAACTACTAACAATTATTTATCCAGCGGCGGTGGTTGCTGCAGCGGCAAGCACGGGCAGGGTGGGGGCGGGCAGTAAGGGGTACCCAGTACTGACGGAAATAGGCCTGATGCAGCTGCTAGTTGCCTGTATAGTTAAAAAAAACCTTTTATACTCATTATACGTAGAGATGGGAAAAACTGCTTATTTTTTTAAACGTTAAAACATTGTGCTTTAAAAAAAGCGTCTTTTTTTAAATGCTATTCAATTAAACGCTTTTTAGTTTGAAGCTTACAAAATACTTTAGAAAAACGTACAGAGTACTAAAAAAATCGACCTCAAAAGTCATTCAGCCCTAGTTTGCGACTCTTAGAGGTGGAATATTTTCTTCAAATTTAAATGGGACCACATCTGAGGTTCTGAGGTGAGGAGGGTTCCTTCCAACAAAAAAGAATCATCAAAATCGGTTGACAAAGTTTTCACGGAGTTATCGCGTAACATACATACAAAAAAAACAGTCGAATTGAGAACCTCCTCCTTTTTTTTAAGTCGGTTAAAAAAATGTTAATGGCGAAAAGCAGTGGTAGACCACCTAAAGGTTTTAAGTTATGTAAGTTTATTTGTAAAATACCGAGTTTTATTTTTATAAAATTATTATTCACATTGACAGAGGCCAAAACAACAAAAAAAATTCACATTGCCGAATTAATTTGTTGAAACATAGATGACTGGACTTAAAAACATTTACGCTTAAATTGAAAATTGTGCTTGTGTGCTTATTTAAAAAGCGAACTTTTCTTGAGTATTTTTCGATTAAACGCCCACCTCAAATTATACGTCCCACTGCTGGACACGGTTCTCTCTCATGCAGGTTTCATTTTATCGCGATGTTTTCCATCACCCTTAGCAAGATTAAGATATTGATATTAAACATCATACCTTTAGAAATTAAAGTCACACGCTATAACAAGGGTTCGAACCGTCTCGTCGATTTCTTAGATGAGAATGCCAACCCTTTCTCGACAGTAGGGTATATCGCGATGATGCAGTTTTTTTTACCCATGAACTGATGCTGATTTTTATTGACCTTAACATCAGCGAATGCTGATTTTATGTACCTATTAATAAAAACGCAAAAAAGGTACATCCTCACTGAATCCTATCTATATGAAAGATACTTTCTAATTTTCCCTCGTATTGTAAAAAAATATTATTTTAATGATTTTATTAGCAAAAGAATCAGTCTGCATGAAACAAATCTGCCTAGCTTAACCGTTCTAGAATTTTACCAAAGTTATAGGTACTCGAAAAACAACAGCTGAGCTTATTTTTCGGCTTCCAGTCTGTTTCTGGAAGGTTTGTAAAATCTTCCAGCGTGCCTGTTAGGTCATGTCACGTCTCGAACATCCGCAATGAATATCAGCTTCGATGAATGCGGATATTTTAATTTTTGCTTATATTCGCAACAACCCTTGTTCATACCATAAAAAGTAAATATAAGTCACGCAGTTGCGAGTAGCGATGAAAGAGACTCAGTCTTTTAAGGCGTTTTATAACGACTCGACTCCATTTTACAGGACTCGACTCTAATATTACGACTGTAGGTTCGAGTTTTCATTAATAAAGGCCCATTTAGATGGAGAGAGTTTCTCGCACGCTTCGTGACGAAAACTCGTAGGCGATTATCGTAAGCAATAATCGCCATAAGATTATCGTATCATAATGTTTACATTCAGGCAAGAACTAAAATCTCGCCTACGATTATGTCATACGAGATTCGCAAGCAACTTAATCGCCTCGTCAACTGTTTACACAGATAAATATATAGTAAGGAGTTTCTTGTTTACGAGTTTTCGACTTGTCTAAACACGATTTCGTATGACATTTTTTCAAGTTCATACGATTATCGTACAAATCGGTTTGAATCGTTTTGAGTGCGAGAATCGCCATTCGAGTTCAGTGATTACTGCGGTATTGACTATGGACATATCGAAATGACGCAAAAATCATTCAAATTTGGAACTGCTGATAATAATAGGGGTTAAAGTATGAAATTGCCGATTTGTACTGAAAATCTAAATTGTTTATTTTTTAAATTTTTAACAAATTTATTTAATCAAAATAGTTGCCATTATTATCTATACATTGCTGCCATCTAATGGGAAGGTTATTAATGCCTTTGCGATAGAACTCCGACGATCTAGACTGCACAAACTGTGTGAAAGCATTTTGTACTGCCTCCTGGGAAGAAAACTTCTTGTCACGTAGATAATTGTCCAAATCACGAAAAAAATGGTAGTCCGTTGGAGCAAGGTCTGGTGAATACGGAGGATGACGAATGGTTTCTAACTGCAGTTCCTGAAGGGTCAAAATGGTTTCTCGTGCTGTGTGAGGTCTCGCGTTGTCGTGGAGCAATAATGGTGAAGATCGATTCATGAGTCGGGGCTGTTTTACTGCTAGTTTTGTCAACATGGTTCGGAGTTCGGCACAATAGACATCTGCCGTTATTGCTTGGCCAGATCGGAGAAAACTATAGTGAATAACACCTTGCTGAGACCACCAAACAGTTCCCATTACCTTTTTATTGGTAAGTTTTGCTTTAGGACACTGTTGTGGCATTTGACCTGGGGTCAGCCATTGCATTTTTCTTTTCCGGTTATCATAAAGAATCCACTTTTCATCACATGTTACAATTCGATCCAATATTCCTTCATTTCTGTACCGGTTCAACAAGGCAACACAAGTTTCAACACGCGTTTCTTTCTACAGATCAGTCAAATCATGAGGCACCCATTTTTCGTATTTTTTTTATTTTATTGATTTGACGCAAGTGAGTCAATATTGTGGGTAAGGTAACGTTAAACCATGCCGCTAATTCCTGGGTAGTTTGACTAGGATCGGCTTCCACTATCTCTCTTAATTCATCGTTATTCACCTGTATGTGGGCGGTCTTCCTCGTGGCTCGTTCTTTAAGTCGAAATTTCCATCACGAAAGCGTTTAAACCAAAATCGCACGGTGCGTTCATTAGTAGACCCCTCTCCAAACGCAGCATTGATATTGCGGGCTGTTTCTGCCGCGTTAGTTCCGCGTCGGAACTCGTATTCAAAAATCACTCGAATTTTCGCAGTATCCATCTTTCTTGTCTAAATTGAATAACAAAAACAATTGAAAGTCGATATTCAAATGTTTCAAATTTAAAAAAAAAAATCACAGAAACCATTTGAAAAAAGTTTCATTCGAAAACCTCAAACCATGAAGATTCTATGAAAATTCAAAGAACCTATTGCAATAAAACGGCAATTTCATACTTTAACCCCTAATATTAAGTTCCTTGCATTGTACAGAAATATACATTTTTTTTTTCAAATTTTATAACATTTCTTAATTCAAATTTTTTTTCGTTCTCGTTTCATTAATTCTTGTCTTACTTAGAAAAGCAGTGATAATCAAAACACCCTCGCGCACTGCAACTCGACATACGATTTTTGCTTTCGAGTTCTGTTTACACGGAGACATTCAATCTTGAAAGGCGAGGCGATTATCGCTCACGTGGACGGTCGATAATCGCAAATGTTTAGACGAGGACAGTTTTTTATATTCTTTCGATAATCGTATCTTCGAGACGATAAACACTCTCCATCTAAATGGGCCTTAAGACTCAGTCGTTATACTAAAAGCCTTAATAGACTTAAACGACTCTAGTTGTTTGCAATGGACTTATACTTACTTATTTTAGTCTTATTAAACCCGAAGTTTATAAAATAAAAATTGTATGTAGTAAATAATCACGTTTATTTACTTATAATAAAATTAGGATTCAAAGAGTGATTTAAGCAACAGTTACGAGATTTTAAGACCTAATTATATAATGATTGCATACAATTCTTTTTCTGCGAGTAAATTAAAATAATGAAATACAACCAATGTTTAAAAGTCTATGGAAATCCAGTTCTAACGTGCCCTTTTTTATTTTGTGTAATATTGGTTTGTAACCACTTTTCTTATTATGAAGTCCTGGTACTTTTGTTTAAACTTCTTTAGAAACCCGTGCACAGTAGTGAGATACAATTTATCTGTAATACATAGAACAATTTATATACATAACTACATAGCGACTGTGGACCTCCACTTAATACGTTCATAAATAGTATGTTTCATTCATCGTTATGGTCAAACGACAGTATCAGACACTAAATTTTGATAAAATTCTTTGGTTCTGTATCCATTCATTTTTATATTATATTATAAAGAAATAATTCCCAAAAAAGAAATTCTTGAATTGGTTATAATTAACCGACTTCTATGAACAAACGTTAACGTTATCCATCAATCGAAAAATAAATATCTTGCGGGTAGAAATAAAATCACGCCATACAGCTCATAACTCGCGACTCCCGAGGCTATAAAGCGCTAGTCGTTTTAGTCCTACAAGTCTTTTAAGCTTCCTAGGGTTAAAAGACTACGACTGGAATTAGTCTTCAGATTTAATCTTATGACTCAAGACTTGAGGGTTAAAAGACTAGACTAGTCGTGAGGCGTTAATAATTAGTCGAGGTTTTTTAAAAGGCTTTAAAAGACTTGAGTCTCTTCATCACTAGTTGCGAGTGATGGCGTTTACTTGTACAGCTACAAGCTTGTGACCAAACCAGCCAAAAGGGCATGCTATACCTACCTACTGAATAGGGGATCTCGTACACAAACTTTTTCATCACACTGGCGCGTGAATAGTATGGTTGCATGCAGGATAATGCCCCAAGTAAAACCCTCGGGCTGATCGGTAATGAGAAGAAAAAGGCCCGAGGATTTTATTTGGGGCATTATAGTCAAGTTAACCTGCATGTCATTATACTAAGTATTTACGTACAAGTTTCAAAGGCGGTACGGGAATTACGAACGTCGACAATGAAAGCCTCAGTCTTCGACTTCGGACTAAGAGTCGTATTCTAGAACTCTACTCAATGCTCAAGTCAGGATTTGAGCAGAGTTGAGTATGATTTCAAGCACTGGAAATACGACCCTAATGGCAAGGATTTGAGTTAGAGTCTCGTTAGTAATTCCTCATTTACCGCACTTAATACACAACGAAACTATTAGTGTCATAGGTAACGTTTTTAGTTTATTTTAACAGTCGTTCATATTGAAAAAAATATTGGGTGAATTTTCGTCAATTGTTGCAAATATTACTCCTATTTATAATACTATCATAATATGACAATGACATCAATGCGTTTGATAATTTTGAAAGCGACCTTACAGTGACATTGCACGCTGCTCGTACGGCCAATACCTTTGCAGTAGCTGTGGTGACAAAAGTATTCACAGTAAGCAGTGGAGCTCCTTATGTAAAAGTCCAGAGAAGCACTGCCACCTTACCTGTTTCTGCCGCCAAGCAGTAATGTGAACATTTACTGTGTTCCGGTTTTGAAGGGTAAAGGGTGCTGATGAAATTACTGGTACATGGAACTTGTCAACTTATGCCTCAGGTTGATGGGCACAGTGGCAGTGCACCTCAGATCTGCGATTTAAAGGCGTGAATGGCACTGGAACTGCTTTAGACAGGCGTGTCGCTTACCACCAGGTGCACGACTTGTTCCTCCCGTTACTTGGTATAATAAAAAAAGCCTAATGAAATAACTCTACCCATGTTAATAGTGTAGATATGAGTACTTGGAAATTTTACCTAACCCCCTGGTGGAATCAACAGATCGCAAGGATATTTTTGACATCAACTTTGGTGAGATCCATAATACTTAGTATAACATAAACCTTACCTGTACTGTTGGTCAATTTGAGCTTTCTCAATCCTTTTGTCCTTGGCTCTTCTGTTCTGGAACCATATTTTTACCTGCGTCTCGCTTAACGACAGCGCTGAAGCCAACTCACATCTGCAATAAACGTGTTTGTTTTGCTGAAGAATTTGGAAATAAAACGGCGCCAAAGGGTGTTTAAGCTGCGATTCTACTAGAGATGAGCGAGGTAACTAGGCGGTGCGAGGATGCGTTACGGGCTCTTTTCAGCTATGCGCGGGCGGGGTACGGTGTGGTGGGGTGAACGATGGCGATGTGTCAGTGTCGGTTAGTGTCATACTTTCTGTGGCTCTAGTTTCCTACACCGTTTTGCACACATTCCTCGTCCGCAACCCTCGCAGAAATCTCTCGCTATTTTGTAAGTACAAATACTTAGCTCTGCTAACCCTTTTCTACCGGAGCTGCGCTAAGCAAGGCTAGGAAAATGAAGTAATCCTACTGGTGGATTTTTTGGCCGCCTCGCAACGCCTAGCTATCTGGTACATCTCTGGTGGACTCGCAGCCTATGGCTGCTTTTCCACCATGGATGTGCGACGGAGCGAGGCGTGGTGCGAGGATACGTAGCAGGGCTGTGAAGCGGTGTGATGGTTTCCTCCAAAGCGGCACGAGATAGCTAGGTGGTGCGAGGAAGCGTAGCGAAATTTGTGAAGCGGTGTGTATCTGAACGGTGAGAGGATGAGTAGCGGACTCTTTTCAGCTGTGCGCGGGTGGGATGCGGTGCGGTGCGAGCAGAGGCGACGGCGAACTCGCTCGCGTCTCTCCCACATATTCCTCGCTCGCATCCCTCGCACACATCTCTCGCAGTTTAGTATGTAGGTACAAATATTTATACAAATACTCCGCTTGCTCTCTTCCACCACAGCTGCGATAATATCGAAGCTAAGATATGGGGATTTTTCCTCGCACACCGCCTAGCTTTTCTTACGCAAAACAACTTTGCTGCTGAGTGAAACCAATGAGTGAAACATACAACTTTCCACCTCACTATAGCGAGGAAAATGGTAGATGACAGAAAAACAGTAGAACTATAACAAATCATTTAGTTCTTCGACAAATTAAAATAATTTAATAAACAAAATTAGTTGCTATGTCAACAATAATTAAATAAAATATACCAACGGATTTATATTACATAAATAATGTAAGACAAATTTAATAGTTAGACGTGTCATTATGTTTGTTTTTCATCGAAAGAAAAAGTTAGTGCACCACAGTACATCGTCAAGTTCGAATTACAACAACCTTTGGCGCGCATATTTCTAACGAGTAAGAAAGCCTTTCCGAGCTAGTGAGGTGAAAACGTATTTTTCTACATAGGTATCTACCCCGTGGTCATATAAAATGTATAGCGCTAAATTTGAAAGCGATATTTTCATTATAATATAGGCACACTAGGCGGACGTGATCGTAGGAATATGTATAGGTACCTACATTTTAATGTACGGACAACGGCACACCAGACTACACGTTTTTGTTCGAAACTCGCCTCCAGTGCAACGGAACAAGATACGTCAATGTGTAGCGTGTATACACGGGGCCTTAGAAAGATAGAGTAGTAACAATAACTTTACCTTCGCGCTCTTGCTACGTATTCACCCCTCGCGTACTCAAGCTCCAGTCGCAAGGTCTGATGCGCGGAGAAGGTAGTTCTTTGACGGCGAGGTCGACTTTCTTTGCGACGACGACGGGCAACTGTTAACAGGTTAAGGGTGTATTTCCACCGGGCGGCGAGGCGAAACGATTTTTAAAACTTGTATGGCAAAATATCTATTCTCTCCTAGCGCATCTTCGGTGGAAATGGTCGGGATCGACGAGGATGGGCGAGACGAGATTTGAAATATTTGTTGATGTAACATTGAATCGTATAGCCTACATAGAATCTTTATTAACTCTGCAACGAAAACACGATTCACGATGCCTCGTACGATACCGCGCGTATTACAATCGCGTGCATTGAAACGTAAACGTTCACACATTTTCGAAATTATGTAAATATTAGATATTTCAAAAAATGTACCTTGTGCTGTTTTCAAAAATAGGTAATCACGACACAATTTTAAAAAAGGTATAGGTACTTTTATTTCAGAGAAAAACAAACAAACTACAGTCAAAGAAAAATATATGGTGTCATACGTGTATCCATATCATTTTCAAGTAAATATTTATACAATGCATATTACATATTTATAATTGCATTAAAATGTACACGATTAGGATTGTGATTTTATCATAATTATGTAACCACTTTTAAAACATTGCATTGTTTTCAAAAGTATATATACACAATAAGAGTTGCAATATAACGTAAACATACCAACGCCAGTTGTAAACTTTTTTAGGTCTCTTTTGCTAGTTCGTAATACTTGTCCCGGGATAAAAGATTATATAAAAAAGTTATTTTCGAAAAAGTTCGTTTTATTTTTATTTATTATTTATTTTATTTTAGAGGGTACAAACAGCTTATATTACAACATGATTATTTCTTCTTACAGTATCTTCATCTGATTCTTCTTCCGTTAACATATTTAATAATAAGAATTTGCGGGACATGGTACTTTAGCCGCGTGCTTATGGCTTGACGAATTGAACAGGGGGCCTACTATGAGCTCTTAGACCAATCCTATTTATGCCTGTAAATTGAGTTGCCTGTCCAATTCGTACTATGACCTCACAAAAACAATTCAATGTTCATGCAGTTTACGTTCCCCATTCGAAATCCGTTCACCTTTTCATTCATAGTAAACTCGACGTGACACTCATGACGTGTCATCATAGATTTAGTATGGATATACTAAATCTATGCGTGTCATGTACATAGCGGTCTCATCTGTCAAAATAAGCAATTCAAATAAAGTTACTCCGTGACTAACTTTTTTAGATTTGTTACACTTTTAAGAAATTTCGTTTAAGGTTTATTATATTTCCAGTTTCATAATTGTTTGTTGTCTTTTTAGGCTATATAGCCAATTGTCAATAAATAAATACTATTAATTAGCTATTGAGCATTTTTTGAGGTTTTTTCAATGTTCGAGTTTCCAATCTTTAAAGTATTGTTGACAAATTATTGGCATGAATGTTATTGCAATTTTTAAATGGAATTTTAATCATCTTAATAATTTTATTGACTTAGCGAAAATCCTAAAATAACTTTTGAATAGTGCCAAATTTTACATAATAATATAATTATGCAATCAATGAAAATGTAAAAATACAAGATACGTTCCAGTTATGTTATCAAATTACAAACTCACCTTATTAATTTCAATGATAATGACTAGATATGACATGTAATTTTGTCGTACGACAAATTATAAAGTATGATTGAAAAGTAAGTAAGTAATCATCATAGTAAGTTCTCAATTTGAACACAATCAGTTAATAGTGCTTGAACGCTTCCAGGATATTACATCTGTCTATTTCTTTCATATGATTTAGTAGGTATATAGTTCCATCTCGCTCTTGTTAGATGTCAGCTAGTCAGCCAGAGACAATAATTAACGTTTAAAAAATAAAACATCCTGTCATGCCATTCCCGTTCAACTTTGTGTAGGTCGTGATACAAATTTATAATAATAATAATATTTCTATAATAATACTAAACTACCGTACATTTTACAACTACTTATCGTTAATATATATACTTAATTAGTGAAACAGAATTCCCACACGGTCGTTTAAAAATCGCACAATAACGTTATAAGGATTCATCCTAGTTCCTGTAAATTGGTCGGTAGGGATAAAATGGGGCCGTGAGAAAACGAGATTGTAAGATCTCCCGATTTCCCGTCACATAGTACTTCTATTAAAACAAATACTCAAGACTGTTGTGTAGGTACTTATATTACTTTGTTCACTATTTTGCTACACAATCGAAGACGATCACGGACTAAATTTTAAAAAGATCACACAAATACCCCAAACCCGTCTTCTTCTATCGCATCATTTACGAAAGTATGTTTCGTAATAAGCGAATTTCATGAACAAACACGAAAAATCTCCAAATAACCAACCAGTAACATAACCAGGTAATATAATATACTGACCGTACTAATAACCAACCAGTAATATAACCAGGTAATATAATGTACATACATCATAATCAATCTATTGTCCCACAGCTGAGCACGGGTTTTCTATGAAAGGTCTCGGCCATAAGCGACTTAGCTGACCCAATGCGGGTTGGGAACTTCACGTTTTCTAAGGATTTCGAGCCTTCTTTAACATGCAAATTTCATCACAATGTTTTCCTTCACCAATAGCAACTGGTACTTGGTACTTGGTGTAACGGGCTGGTGTTGCCACTAAACATTTACGCATGTGTAACTTAGAAATTAAAAAGAACATTTGTACATAATATACAGTATATTATAAAATGTATGTATATTATGTATGTATTATGAGTAGTGAGACAGAATAGGGTGTTCCAAACGAGTAAGTATATAAATACCTATATCTGCATATATAGATACCAGGAGCGACACGGAGTGATTAACACCACCAAACGTTATTTAATTATTTTTTCGAATTCATAATGGAATTCATAGATAACTATATACGTATATATAATAATATTAAATAACATTAGTACAAAAAAGTTTTTGCTTGTAGTTCATATAAAAAAAAACTTCGGTGAAAGATAAAGGCTCAAGTCACTGGCGCAGAGTCGAATCGTCGCGTCGCGTCCCGTTTTTCAACTACAACGCATGACGACGCGTGTAGTTGCGCGACGACGCTCTCGCGTCTGACGCGTCACTGCGCGCAAGTAACGCACGGCTACGGGCGAAACCGCTCGACTTTAACCAAGCGTCGACGCGCGATTCCATATTTGCATAACACAAATTTGTACCTAAATAATGGGAAAATATAGATGAATATACTATAGGCGAAACACATGCAATTAACACAAAAAAACAAAAAAAACACAATTATCCATATACAATTTTTTTTACATGGCGCCCCTAGAATAAAATTCAACGTCAGCGTCCTACGTGAGTAGTACGATGCAGTAAAACGAATTTCCGAAAATCCGGAATTCGAAAAACGTAATTAATTAATGTTTGGTAGTTTTTTTTTATAATATCAAGTGATGGGACGAACAAGTCGTGCGCCTGATGGTAAGCTACACGCCTGTCCATAACAGTTGGAGTGCCACTCAGTGCTTTAAATCGCAAAGGTCTAAGGGGCACTGCCATTGCGTCCGTCACCCTGAGACATAAGTTGATATGTCTCATATGCCTGTAATTTCACCAACACCCTTACCCTTCAAAACCGGAACTCGGTAATGTTGATACTACTGCTTGGCGGCAGAAATAGGTAAGGTGGCAGCACTTCCCTGGACGAACCCTTTCACAAGGAGCTCTACTGTTACTAAAACCACTTGTTTTGACCACTCTGTTACTCCTCGTAACTATATCGTCTAGATAATCGATAAATCCGAATGAGTGGATAAATATCTACTCATTTGAAACATTGATTGACCTATTCCGACCATTTGGTTATTACCCCGAGTCCCATCTTGAAGTACCTACGAATAACGTCGGAAAAACGCAAATACATTTCCTGATCTTTTTTGTAAAATTTCATGGTGTTCCTTTAATTTAAGATACAATGCTACCTAAAAGGAATTAATCCTTATAAATGGACACTTTCGACAGGCACCATAAAAATATCTACAAGTGGTTTTTATGGTGTCCATGAAGCTAAATATCCTATCTACAATATTATAAAGTACTTTGACTCCGTAGCGGTCGTATACACGTGATCACCATTTATAAAAATATATTTCTAAAAACCCGTGTGAAATTTGATAATATTATTCACAGATTAGTGGGTAAGATTTTGGTTCTGTATCTGTATTCAGATTGAAGCGCTACAACTCCGCGACATATGGCGGTGTGGGTTACAGCGTCCGGCCAATTAGCCCTGGAATCACGAGCCACCGGCCCCTCGAGTCTTCCGCGTGATTTGCGTCATTTGCAACTGATTACACTTCAGCTTGTAACATTGACTTCCGGATGTGTGGATTCCGAAACCATATGTTGTTGGAATGAGATTTCTTTAAAACTCCACTCAGTATCCGGTTAGATCTCAAAAGATCTCAGTTTTTACTAAAGGTAGGTTATTTTATTACTTAGTGTACACTCCTATTAGCTTACATTAGCTTAAATTAGCACTCATATTAGCTTGGTGCAGCAAGCGAACAGCTAGCCAGGTGAAGACTGAAAATCAGCAATGCTGAGTCTTTAACCTTTTTGTCCACATCACTCAATTGTTTTTTTTTCTATTCGTTTTTTAAGTATTGTGGTCGTTATGTTTTGTGGAGAAATAAATATCTTTTTATTTATTTTAAAAATTTAATTCAGAGGATAGTTTTGAAATCTGCGGTGTAACTATCTGACGCTCAAAACGACGACGAATCGTATGTACTAATCCAAATGTTCGATGTCTTATTTATACACATTCGAAATACAGAGGACGTGTGTAATAAATAAGTAAAAAAATCTTATTTTGATTTCGACCACTATTCCTAAAAAGCTAAAACGTTGTATAAGCTTTATTGTTTGTTTTACATTTATTATTTAATTATTGGCATCTTGCTTAGTGTAACTAATAGTACTTACGCGTCTGTTAGGATTGCCGTAGTGATAAGATATTTTCAGCCTAAATGCTATATTCCAATAAGCGACTAGCCG